CATTCATGTTGACCGGTTGGAACATTTCAGACAGCAAAACTGCATCAGTGATGCTCACAATCACCTGTGTGATGAGTCTGTGTCTATACGGTGTCTGTTCTGCTTTGTGATGGTGGTTTGACATGTGCCTGACGAAGAGCCTTGCAGATCAAAATTGCTGGGAGCTATTAGCGCAGTGTGCAGATCTTTTTTTTCTTACTTTTGACTTAGAAATGTTGCTAAAATGACCGATGCTTAATTTTAGAGACACCAGACCAGTTACACAAGCCTTTTCCTCCTCCAACCTGTGATGCTTCTTTTTTTTTTACTGTTATAAATGAAAAATCTGTTCACCACCTCCAGACTGTTCAAAATGCTGCCGTTTTTAACTAAAACCAAGAAATTTGATCATATTGCTCCTATTTAAGCCTCCTACCCTTGGCTGCCTGTATGACTTGGAATTGACTTCATCAGCAGGCTCCTTGTGACATTACAGAGCTACTCCATCTTTATGAGCCCTCACGTACCCCAACATCCCCAGGCTGGGGTCTCGGCTAACGACAGCTTTATTTTTCTTGCTCATTTGTTGTAGTTGGTCCGATTGATTGATTCTATTCATTTACTTAGATTTATTTTACTGCTTTTGTTAAAGTCCTTTGTAATCTTGTGATTTTGAAAAGGACTATACAAATAAAGTTATTATGATAAAGTTATCAGGAACATTACATAAAATGATACTTTGTAAAAGGTGCTGTCGGACTTCATCCAGTATTCTTCATGTTGTACACATGTGGGTAAGATACAGTTTATAAAGCACATTTGTGGATCAAGAAGGTGAATAATGCATAAGCAATGACGCAAATCCAAACAATGGTTTGAATAAGAAGACAGAAACGTTGATATAATGAAACATATATTTTGTACATTTGGAATAGCAAATTTTGTATCGCACTTTTCTACTATATATGCAAGTCCCATAGTATGAATTAATTTGAATTAATAAGCACAAGTGCACCATGCATAAATATAAACAATAGGAAAATGAATTCGACGTGGAATTACACAGCACACTGCTACTGCAAAAGAAAAAGCGTCTGTAGATGAAGGACACCATTGAAAAACCTGAGATGTAACATGAATTCATTTGTTCTCCTCTGTGCAAATATCATGCTCAGTATGAACTGTACATGGTAGACCTTCAATTCACTCTGCATTTTTTGATACCAGAAAACAAAATGGCCACACTCTAGATGAGACAGTCAGGGTTTTTAGTTGCTCTTGCATTAATGGTTGTATGAAGAGTTAGGGGAACCTTGAGAGACAAAGGAGAGAGGCAGAGCAGAGATAGAGAAAGATTAATCAGTGTCTGCCTTGCTTCTGTAGAATACGTGCTTCCACTGGGGCAAATCTTGCAAAGCCATGACATTGTTTTCCATAGCTACATGCCTGACAACCAATTATAGGTCCTGATGAAGCCTGATACCACGGATGCGTCCTGTATTGGTCTGGTTGCCGTATTCAATAAAGAGACAATTAACCCAGATCAGGTCATTTCCTTACTCTGCAGACTTAAAAAAAAGAACCCCCATTGTTTCACCTCTTCCAGACCCGATTAATGTTGTGTTCTGGTATCAGTGGGCCAAACATCCAGAGACTGCAGTTGATACAAAATGCTGCTGACAGGTTGTTAACAAAGGTGACCAGGCCTTTGCTGTCCGGGCCACACAGCTCTGGAACTTCCAGATGATCTCAGCAGGCAAACTCAGTGTTCTTAAAACTCACATTTATCGTATGGCTTTTCCTTAACTGATGGTATTTGTTGTAATTGTTTTAATAATTTTTTTTTTATCATGTTTAGGTCTTAAGTTCTGGTTTTTATTTACTTTTAATATTTGGTTTTATTGTAAAGTACTTTATAACTTTGGTTGTGAAAGGTGCTATATAAATAAAGTTTATTATTACTATTAATATATTTAATCAGACAATGGTCAAGTATTAATATAGTATTAATTTGTCTAGATATTTCATCTTTAAAAAGCATAACTTTCATAACATTATAAGCTGAGAGGTACATTAGTTTGCTGAAGCACATAAAATGTAGTGATGCATGACAGAGCTAGATTAGAGGATGAATACCACTCATGTCTGTAAGGGGAATATGGAGATTTAGCCAGCAGCCAGTTAGCCTAGCTTAGCACAAATACTGGAAACAAAGGGAAACAGTTAGCCTGACTCTGTTCAGAAGGTAACAAAATCCAGCTAACCGCACCTGTAAAGCTCATTAATTAAAACGTATCTTTAATCTGCACAGAAACAAGAGTCTTGTCGTCTTTGTGAGGTTGCCAGGCAACCAGCAGAGACTCCAGTAAGATTTGTTTCTTCTACAAACCAGATATGAAGTGTTAATTTGAGCTTTAGAGGTGGTGGTACACAGATTTTATCACTTCAGGACAGAGCCAAGCTGTTTCCCTGTTTCCAGTCTATGATAAGCTAAGCTAACCAGTTGCTAGCCGTCGCATCAATTTTCTCATTTAACTCTTGACAAGAAATTGAATGAACAGGTATTTCCCAAAATGCCAACTACCACATTAAAGGTTCTTCAAACTCAGTAGCTGTAATGATTTCATCTATAGCCCTGATGAAAAGCATGTGATGTGGCTGAAAGAAAAAAGAAGAAAAAAAAATCAACTAAGTGGTAAGTGAATGAAGTGAAGTGGTAAAAAGAAAACTGCTCGGTTAAAGTAGGTAAAACAAAGTAAGACAGAATAATTCAAGCAGATTAGCGTCACGTTTATCATGTTGTTGGATCAACAGTCGGGCTTCGCCTCTAAAATCCAAACTTTAGTGACTTTCAGATATAAAAGTAGCCAAACAGATGTGGGATAGTGCGGGATAGTCAGCTATAATCTCAACAGCCATCACAGGGGCCTCGTAAACTGAGTGCCAGATTCTTTTTACAACCGTTCCCAATGAGGAGAGAGTGTTGTCACTTATCTGACTATAAAAAAAACAATAATAAAAAGTAATAGAACAGTAGTAAAAAGCAAGCGGGTGATGCTGGTCTATCATACAACAGCTTTGGTGAAGTCTTGTCAAGATACTGTTGTCATAGAAACAAAACCCACACGCAGCTGAGATGAAGCTAGTGCAGAGGAAAAACACTATATGGACACACGCCTCTAAGAGAGGAAGAAACGTTTAAGTGCTCCATCTTGGATGTGTGGAGTTTTACATCAGTCGAGGTTTCAGCACCATTTAAGGAGAGAAGAAGAAGCAGTCTGATGATATGATAACATCTGTTCACAGTCATTGTGTGACTTCCTCTGTGTAGCTGAGGCTTCTTCTTCCCCAGTGGCTCTCTGGGACCAGGAAGCCGCTCCTGATCACCGGCTCCACCACCAGCTCCAGTAACGCGGGGGGCTCCGGCACGGCCAGCTCCGTTACCCTAAACAGATTAGAATACGCCCGTCCCACCAGAACCAGCTGACCCGGGGGGATTCGGGGATCAGGTCCTCTCAGCCGTCGCCAGTACACCCTGAAGTGGCGTACGAGCTTGGTCTGGTAGTCCCAGCGCAGAGTGGCATTCAGACGCAGGAAGGGAGAGGTGGACTCTGGAGAGGTACCGGCGCCATGCAGCCACACCACGTCAAAGATGCACAAGCCCTGAAGTGGCTCGGGGGGAACCTGCAGACTGGCTACATCCAGCAGCTTGTAGCGAGAGACAGAGGTAGACAGACAAGGATGATCAGAGAGAGAGGAAGTTTCAGGAACCTTTACTAGAGGAGGTTAAGGTTCATGAGGAATATATAGGAACCTTAGTGCTGAAAATCTGCAGTTGGAATTTTTTTGTGGTGGCTGAAATAGTTGCAGATGAAAGCGGCAGTAGAAAAACAAACACTGAGAGAAGTTGAAATTGCTGTTAAAATGGAAGTATCTCTTTTGGTGTAAGAACAGACTCCTGAACAGCACTATGATATCTGATATAAAAACAGCTTAAAGTATTCCCTCAAATTCAGTTATACTGAGCCATAAAGTATTTTACAGAACACATTATTGAACACAACCAGCTCTCATCGTCTCACCATGATCTCTCCCACCCTGCAGCTGAACGGTGTGTCCTGAGGGTCTCCACTCTGCTGGATACTGACACAAAGTTCTCTCAGAGAACAGCCACTGTGCTCCAGCTGCAAACATCTGCACAGAGAGACACGAAGAGGACACAAAGACCAATGATTAAGAATTAAGGCTCTACAATGAAATCCAATTGCAACTCTGTAGCCCGAGAAAACATCTTGGGTGAGACAGTAAAAGTATATATTTTTTAATATTTTCAGCTCTATGCTTTGGACACTTGGCTGTGTAAACTTTAACAGGTTTAGACATGTGACAGAACTTTGATCTTTAACGCTAAAATCAGGTCCTTCTTTTCTCGCGCTGATCTCGTCCCCCTTCCCTCTTGAACCGGAATTTTTGAACTTGACATATGAAGTAGACTAATTTAATTATCAACAATTATTATTATCATTACTAATGAGCTGCTGGACACATGGATTTCTCCTAGGGGATGAATGAGGTATCTATCTCTCTCTCTCTCTCTCTCAATCTATCTATCTCTCTAATGGTGGTGTAGTTTTGTTTTCCTCAGTAAAGCAGATTGTGACATTGTTTGAAAAGCTACTGTATATAAATAAATGTTATTATTATTATTATTATTATTATGATACAACAGATCAATAGGCCAACAGACAAATTACTACAGGACACTGTAGAGAATGTAGGAAAACACCAGATAAACTCTGACATCACTTGCAACAGGACTGAGGATGACAGGGACTAACAGAGGGTGTGTAATGTGACAAGTACAATAACATTAATCCAAATGCACCTCAGTCAGCTGGAGGTGTGGTTGTTGCAGCACCCTCACTCTCCTCAGGACCAGATGTGTGACCAACACACAGCTGTTACTGAAAACTCTCCTCATTAATCCAGTGGTTTTTCACACACCTCAGTAAACACACAAACTGTTAATCATTTTTTTTCTTTTACTGAAATTAATTTTGGGAGGTGGGGGGTGTGTGTGTGTGTGTGTGGGGGGGGCACGGTTGGACATTGCCCCCAGTGCCCCTCCTTGGTGATGGACTGGATCAGCTTAGCTGTTGTTGGTGTTTCTTACCTTACAGTCCAACCATCTGGATTCAAGTCTCCACATAGCTGAGAGAACTGTCTCACCAGCGGGTGCCCCCCATCTAACACCTCAGGACTCACACTGGTAACTGCAGACACAAGAACATGTACAGGTAATACTCGGCTGTAACTGAGTCAACATTGAACCCCGTGGAGGTGGAGCGGTTCTGGTTTGGGTCTGTGTAATGTACCGAGTATCAATGAGAGTCTGGCGGACGTGAAGCTGAAAAGAGGCTGGATCAGGGCCATTTCCATTTTCATATCCTTCACCTCTCTGAATGTTGTTACGCTTGTTTGTTTTGTGTGTTCCAGGTCGAATTCAGCAAACTCTCTTATATTACTGTAGCTGTCAAGGCGGTGTCGTTGCAGAGCTACACAGTGACAGAAACAAAGACGTTTGACAAAGCGAGAGGGTCAAAGGGACGTTACAGCTGATGTTACAGGTGTTAACTGTAACATCAGCAACAGTAACAGCAACCTGCACTGTCCAGCTAAAATACTAAACAAATCTAACTCTTTCGTTGGCTTTATGTTATTAGAAGTGTCCCCCCCCCCCTTTGGATAAAGGCTATAAAATATGGACCAATCATGACTTTCAAAGAAAGTTACAAATACAAGAAGATTTGTGAATGTGACGAATTCTCTTAAACCACATGAATCTGTTTGTGTGAGTGGTTCTTACATGAGACCTGATGATCTTGACCACAATCAAGCTTTAGCTGCTTATAAACATTAATAACAAATGCTTTGCAACAAGCTTCATAGTCCTCAGAATGATAAATTGTTCTAGCAGTTCTAGTAATATTTCACTTCTGGTGGTATTTCCGTTATAGAGACTTAAACACTTGTAAGGAGGAGTAGAAAACGTGTTGACAGGGTGTAAGACTGTTAACACATGTAACCCTGGTTCTGTCGTGTCTACATTTGTGCTTCTGCTTGTTCTCATCACTTTAATAGCTCATGAGGGTTTAGCACATGACTGTGCTGGGTGCTGATGGAGATGTCGCTCTGAGAGGTGTGATGAATTTGGTGTAATGCTCCTGACCTGAAGGTCAAATAGTGACAAGTTCACTGATATGAAAATAAAACTTTTTAATCCTCCTTCTATTCATATTATCTACTGTATATATCTTTTTCTACCTTAAAAGTCAGTTCTTAGTTTAATTGAAAAACACATTGAATTTTTTTTTTTAATTTATAGTTTATAGTATATATATATTTCCATAAAGAGACAGCAGTGATTCCCATACATTCACAATATCAGCATTCGCCACATGTTGATTTTCTATTATTCTTATTTGATTGTAGATCTTTGCACGGCGCATGGATTCACTCAGCCCCTCCCTGCCTCTTTCTATCTCTCTCCCTCATGTCTCTCACAAACACATTGACAACAGACCCATCTGTCAGAATGATTATAGCTGGTATAGGCTCCACCCCCCCTCATGACGGCCCTGCAAAGGTTAAGCAGCTATTGGACAGTGGGCAGAGAGTAAGAAACTCACGTCTGGCATCGTCGATGTCCGTTTGTGTGCAAACATCTGTAGTCTTCAGCTCCAGGGAGACTGTGATCCCAGCAGACGGCTTGTAGATGAAGCTCACCAGGGTCTGGGATGGCAGGGCCACATGGAGTGAGAAGATCCTGAGAAATACAGAACAACATGCTAGACTGGTGTTGCAAGATTTTCACTACGTGAAAAGGTGAACAGAAAAGTCACACACTTGGCACAAACTGGGGACGTGTGAGAAGCAGGGATGAGGCCGTCGAGCAGCAGCGAGCAGCATCCGTTCCAGGCTTCCTCCGGGCAGCCCCGGCTCCTCAGCCAGCCGTGGCCCCCCAGCTGTGTGCGGTAGTACAGGGGCTGGATCTCCTGAGCAGTCAGGTTGAACCAGCTCCTCATTGTCTCTTTCTGCATACACATCAAGAAAGAACATTTGAAGAAGACAGCATCAATCAAGCATGCAAATAAAACAATGTTAACTCATGCAGTCACATATTCCAGCAGCTTGGAGCACAAAAACAGAGCGGCTTCATCAACACTGGATTTGAACAACCAGCGGGTCTTTCTGTGTGACCTGGCAGACGGAGGCATCAACAGGTGTGTCAGAGAGGCACAGTGGGACAAAACCATGCAGGGCAGAGGTCGACAACAGACGGCCCGTGGCTCAAAACTGGCCCACCAAATAATTTTGATAATGAGATTTTTTATTTTACAATATCAACCTGACAGTCCCATATGTAGCTATAATGCATTATATAAACATAATGCTTATCATACTTGTATCCATGTTGAGGCAGCAACAATGCTTCAATTCAAGGTGAATTGGGAGCTTTTACTCTGAAGTTCCAAAGGTTCTGTTGCTTTACAGACCTCTGAAACAGACAACAGACATGTGACGTGCGGTATGAAAGAAATTACACCAGTTCAGTAAGTCATTGAAAGTTATACTTATATGTGACTGTGAACAGAAACAATCACTTTCTTAAATTAGCCTTTGATTACTTTCTGACCTCTATCTATTGGCTCAGAAAAAAATCTGCCCTGAGGCCAAACCTACTTCATGCCTGACGCAGCGCCTTTGTCTAAAAGTTAAACTTGATAATCAGCTCTAAAATGAACTGAAGCTAAAGCAGAGAAGTGAGGACCGGTGTGATTTGCTCTGTTTTTGTTAAAAACACTGAAATTCTGAACGAGCTGCTGCTGATCCACAGACTTATAGCAGCCATCTAGCAGGGCTGAATATGGCCAAGTGGAACATCCAAGTCCAATGAAGCGTTGCAGTGCTACTGAGACGCCTCGGCCTACAAATCAGATTCTCCGGTAAAGGAACATGCTTGTTTTGTTTCAGTGAAAATTAAACGCAAAACTAAAATGGTGACTCGTATCGCATATTTGTGCATATCGTTCAGCCGTACCATCTGTGGTCGCAAAAGGATAAATCAAGACTCCTGTTTTCATGGCGGCACAGCAATCAGTGAGAGCAGAGCTCCTAGAGTTTGATATATTCCTGACCTTGAAGTTAGGTTTGTCTGTCTATTGTGGTATTTTGGTGCCCAGCCTTTGCAGGTCTGCAGCTTTTAGAAGGAAATGTTCTTTTTGGAAAATGTTACTGTTAGAAGTAACACATTCTTTTCACTATGAATATCTAATGAGGACTGTACAAAATGCAAATATTTTAAAAGAACAAATCACTTCGTCGTGACATTAATCTGATGCATTGCAGTGTTCCTGACTAGCTTTTTTCTCAATTTTTGATGAGCACTGGCTTTTCCAGCACTAATTGGTGATGTCATGTGTTTCCCCTTCTCCACCTCCGTCAGTACCTTTCCTCTCCAGAAGACAGCCTTCCCAAAGCCCTGGCAGAAGGAGGAGATGAAGGGGAGAGGCGAGGCGGGCCGGTGGACGTACAGGTAGTCTGACAGAAGAGCCCAGAACCTGCAGGAAGTTTAGAAACATCTCAATCTCTATCTATTCATCTCCTCCGCTTTCTGAATGAACAGCTGACTGATGAGTGTATTCAAGTCAAGTGTAAACACTGCGTAGATCTCACGTGTCCTGGTTCTTGCGGAATTCGGTCTTATCGTCGTTGGTCTCGTACACCCAGCCCGGAGCAAAGATGGCTGCAGAGAAGCCGTGCCTCCGAATGACCTCCAGTGCCTGAAGACAAACAAAACAAGAAGATGCGCACAGTCAATGATCTGCCATTGATCAACACTTATTTATTCATAAAAAAAAAAAAAAAAGACTCACCTTATCCACAGTGCATACCTTATTTGTTTCCAACATCCCTCCTACCACCTTGCCCCGGGCGAACACGTCTACCCCAACGTAGACGTCAGCCGTGCGGCCTTGGATCCCACTGTAGTCCTTCATCGTCTCCAGGTTCTGCTCCGTCCAGTTGTAGTTGGTGAAGAAACCATCACAGGCATCGAAAAACACCCTGTGACGGAGAGATTGAGATCATGCGTACGTCACTAATCACTCTGGCGGTCCAAACTGACACATGTAAATGGACGCTGTCTACCTGTTGGTCTGGTTGAGTTCGTTCTGCCAGTTCAGCTGTCCGTTCTCGGTCACACTGTCGTACCACAGGACCAGGCTGCCGGAGACTCGCTCGTGCATCTGGTCTGTGAGGTAGCGCAGGAACAGAGGTGTGTTCTTCACTGCAACCTCCTGCAAGGCAGGGGACAGCACACACACACACACACACACACACACACACACACACACACACACACTCTGTGTTACAGCACATTACAAACAGCAGGTCTTCGAAGAGAAGACCACTACAGAACGTTAGCTCGGGTGAACTGTGAAACTACAATAATTCAGGCCAGGAATTTGACTCCATGATCCCAGTCCACCCTCACAAACCATCAGACTGCTGACTCTGTAGCTGTTGATGCACAGGTACCAGAGTAGTTATACATTTGGCCACTATGTTCATCTGGGAGGAAAGTTATTCACATTACAAAATACAAACATATGAGAGTGACCAATGAATATTAAAAAAAAAAGTTAAATAGTGATAATATTTATTTATTATCTTACTGCATGTTATTACAGGAGAAAGGGGAAGCTAGGTTCATGTTTTAGAGAATTATTATTGGTTTTATTGGAAAAATAAGCAAGACTAAGAGTCTATCATACAGACATGTTCGCGTCTCAGTGAGGCTGAACTTAGGCACAATATGCTAACACTGGCTATTCACAAGAAGCATCTGCTGATGTGAACCTTGCCTTGTAAAGACTTGGGATCAAGAAGTGATTTGCATCAAGCTGAAAGAGTTACAGTCATCTCAAAGAGTTAATATATTCATCAGTCCACAGCCAGACAAACTGTCTATAAATGGAGATGAATAGTTTCTCTCTAGAAGTGGGCGCCCAGTCAGGACGACTCCAAAAGCTCCACACAGAATGATCAATGAGGTAAAACAAAGAAGCCCAGTAACAGTGAAAGGCTTAAAGGAATCACTGGAGCTGGTTAACTAGCGTCTCTGTTCACGACTCGGCCTTTGGCAAATCATGGTGCAATGTTACATGGAGGATGGAGTTCTGCCATGGACACTGTAGAGGAAGCTGTAGCTCTCTATAAAAGAGCACATCACTGCACATCTGAAGTTTAACAAAGAGCAGCTTGTCTCTCCACAGTGTTACTGGGAAAATGTTTTGTGGATTGATGAAACTAAGGTTGGATTGTTTGGGAAGAATGTATGGTGTAAAACCAGCACTGTATACCAACATGAAAACATCATCCCAAAGGTGAAATACAGCGGAAGGAGCATCATGACCTGGCCCATGACCCATCTGCACCTGGACAGCTCCACATCATCGAGGGGTAAAATTTATTCTCAAGTTTATAAAGGAATCCTAAGTCCACCTGCTGAAGCTCAGGAGAAGCTGCTGATGCAGCAGGACAATGACCCTAAACATCAAAGAAAATCTACTACAGAATGACCTCAGACAAAGAAAATCCACCTCCTGGAGTGGCCCAGTCAGAGCCCAGACCTTAATCCAGTAGAGATGCTGTAGAATAACCTCAAAACAGCCGCTCACAACAGACACACCTGACAAATCAGTCTGAGCTGAAGCAGCTCTACAAGGAAGAACGGTCCAAAATTCCTTCTGTCTGATCAGCATCTACTGGCAGCTGGTTTGAGGTGATAAGAGGTTCAACCAGTTATTAAATCCAAAGGTGTGGGTGAGCAGCAGCGTAGAGGTCTTTTACTCACGCTGAGGACGTTCTCTACATTGATGAGCCAGCCGTCGAAGCCGTAATAGTGGCTGATCTGGACTAGCTTATCAGCTACAGCCCGGTACGACTCCTCCTCCTTCAGGAAGGCCTCGCACGCCGCGGCGCCATCAGTCCACTCTGTGATGAACGTCCCTGGAAAGCAGGACATTTTATACCTCAGAGGAGACGTGAGGACGGGAAGTCTGATTCAGACAGGACTGAACCGTCCTCTCACATTCTGACCACATCTCCACTTTAATATAAAATACAATAAAAAGGAGCCTTTTCACTCACCTATAACGGAGACTCCATGTTTATGAGCAGCATTGGTCCACACAGCAGGAGGAATAGTCACCAGCTTGTGTGTGAAGTAGTTGAATATATCAATGTACTGCCAGTGGTAGAAGGCATACGGAGCTTCTGCACTTGTCCCCTGGGTGAACCTTAACAACAGAAGAAAGCAGGACATGGCATCAAGGTACATGGATGCGACTGCAGGTCAGAGGAGGGCAGCAAAACAGAAATCTCCATTACGACTAAATTAAAATTCATGGACCCAAAGAGAAAACAGGCAACAAAAATCATTCCAAATCCAAAATGGAAACAATGACACCCTAAAATCCAAGCTACAGTATTCATTCATTCATTCATTCATTCATTGTTGGCTGTATTCTGCCGTATGGATGATGTTCTGATGACACATTGTCAGTGCAGCTCACAGACTGGTGCCGCTGACTCCGAGCAGACTGACTTCTCTGAGTCATAACTCAATTCTGAGCACACAGACATGACACACATATTTATTGGATGCAGTTTGACATACACTTTACAAGAATGTCATTACCCAATATCCATTGCAATGAACCTCCACAAAATCTTCTTAGAGGCAGAATAACTGCAGAACTTCCCTGACAATCATCAGGTTTTAAGGGTTTTCTTCAGTGTCCAAATGAATCCAGTGTTGTCTGTACACACATGGGTAAATTGCAAAGAGGAACTGCTAATGCATAATTCAGCACACTTTTAATGGTGCCAATTTACCAAACAACAACACACACAAGAGCAAGAGCAAGAGCAAAATGGGAACTGTAGTTCCACATTTAGAGGTTTGATTATCCACCTTAAATATAGGTAAGACAAAGAATAACAGAAGTCACAAAATCCATTACATCACGCAACGGTAGAAATGTGTCCACTGGTAGGGATTTGGCAAAACCGTTACCACCATGGCACCTTAGTGTAGAGGTCACTAATAGGCGGACCACAATCCAGGTCCAGATAGGACAGCGTCTTGGTCAGCGCTTCCACTTCAGCTAACGCTTCAGTTCCTCCGTTTAAACCGACAATTCCAGCTCAATGTACCGCCTGCACCCGAGGTCACCACTAGGGGGGACCGTTGTCCGGGTCAGACTCCAGACAGAGATGGCGACCTACCCAGACCCAACCTATTCCCTTTAAATTATTAATGGAGCATTTCTATTTTAACTGCCGCAGCTTTTCAAGCCTTTGCAGCACAAGTCACATGATCCTACTCAGCCAATCACTGTGACTCAAGTCATTGAGTGAGATACACACGGGGGAGAGATGATAGTCAGTGGGGAAAGTGGGGAAAGTGTGGGAGTGGGATATAAGAGGAAAAGAAAGAGAAAAGAAGGAGTTAAAGCCTCAGTTGTTAAGAGATTGTTTATGATGAAGATGGTTGAGACTGTTAAGATGAGAAATTGAGTTATTTATTGGAAATGGAGTTATTATTATTTTGTTTTCAAAAGCTCCGCTTATATTACAGCCATTATATTCCTTGAAATGAGAAAAAAAAATGTCACTATTATTAGACAAGTTATTAATTATAATCCCTCAAGTTTGCTCATTGTTACTAAAAGCGGAGCAACTTCTGCCGTGGGGACAATATGATACAGTCATTTTAAACCATTTCTTCATTGAATTTACAGAACAATTACTGTACTGTGATACATACCGCTATGGTGATATAAAATTACATATCCCATGATAGAAGATTTTGGCCCATCAACATGGTTTTAAGACTCCAGGAGGGCTGACACCCTCCTTTGTCCTTTCATATACACATAATGTATTTTCCCTGTGTTGAAAACCTGTGGACACACACAAAAAAACGGGGGGTTGTTGGAGGTCGAAGGGGTATTAATTTTGTCTGAGGAGCGCCCACAGTGTTAGACTGCTGTTTTAAGATAGACTGTATTGCCAATGTTATGGGGAAACTAGTGTCTTTGGCCATAAAATGCATCTTCATTGTATCTTTAATATCAATTTCTCACTTTTGGGGAATAAATCCCTGCACTCAGGGTCCATCATCTAGTGGAAAAGTTTTCCCAGAAAAGTGACGGCTGTTATATGGAATATGGAATGACATGCAGTAGTTGAGTTGTAGTTAAATATGAATAATGTGCTCAGGTGTCCACATACTTTAGGCCATGTATTGTATACTCACTGATTTTGTTATAGCAAAAGTAATGCCCCTAAATCCTGAAGTGTTGTTTCAGCTCACAGTGAACTGTGTTGAGTTTTAGGCAGTGTCCCTTTAGGAATTCTCCATTCATCGTAGTAGACCAGAAAAACTCATCCTGACAACACAGACTACAAGTTCTTAATATGGAGTCATACCTGTCGTCCAGGTAACCGCCCATCATGTCATGAGACACCAACGTCCGCCGTGGAGAACTGGCCAGAGGAGGTTCCCGAGGTGCCAGAGGGACTGCTGCCACATTAAAGGGGTTCGCCTCACTCCGGTTCCATGACAGCAGCTCGTCCAAAGTCTGAAGACCACAGCTTATTGGTTCGGTGGTGTCGACATCATAATGTCTGGCTGGGAGAGAACAGGAAACAGCATGTAAAATTAGATCATTTCAGGCTGTCCTACAGATGAACCACTGCTGATATAGTCAGCTAACCTGGCAGCACTGAGGGTGTATACTTGATGACTTCATGGATGCTGCTTGAATCGGTGGGTTGATCCAAACAAGACTCCAACCTGGTGAAAGTAAAAGCAGGCTGGTTAAATACCAAATGAGAATCATACTGCACGTGGGAGACTGAGCAGTAAAACATATATCTGGATTTTATTTTTTACATAACTGGCCACTGGTCTTTTTTTCTATGATACATCCTCTGAGGTCAGACGCATGAATGATTTGCACTTATCAGCACAAGCTATTCTCTCACTTTAAACTATACACATTAAATGTCCAATGTACTTTAATTTATATTGCAGTAAATTAGATTACAGCAAATCCTCTTTTAAAATAAATGTGTTTTTATAACTTATAGAGGTAATTTCAACACATTATTTCAGTTTACTTGCTACAGAGATAACATCCAATCTGTGAAAACAGCTGTATAATGTCTTCTGTGGCTCTGGACGAGCTCTGACAAGTTTGGATGTTTCAGATTTATAACATAGAGCTGGTGTTATAAACTGAAGGTGAGGAGTTTGAAAAACATGGATATGTACCTGGCAGGGACAGCATGTGGAGAAGATGCTATCAAGTTGCATTATGGGAAATGTAGGATCCAATGTATTAGAGGTTGACCTATACTAGGAACTAAAGGCCAGTTTGTACTTCTCCGTAGAATCAACACCGTGAGTAAGTGAGTGCTGATAAAACACAGTGAACTACAATAGGTTTTGAACTTTATTGAACTTAACAGATTTTTCGAGTATTGAACACTTTAATGATCCTTTTGCATGACAACTATATATTGTGTTGTTTGTGCTGTTTTTTCTCTCTCTTTTTCCTTCTTTCTATATTTCTGTTTTCCTGTCTTTCTGTCATTTTTATTTTATGTTGAGGTGAGGTTTAACATAAGCCCTCCATGGCTTTCTTACCTCACCTGCACATTCTCTCCATTAAAAACTATATACAACGTATTTGCAATGTTTTATGTGTGTGAATAAATAAAATCAAAGACCAAAATCAAATCAAAATCATATCAGAGATCAAATCCTGTCTGGGGAAATGTAAAAGAAATGTGGTAGATACCAACTTGTCAAATGCATTGTGGGAATAGCAAAAACCATGCAATATTTCAGCATACACAATCCATCCCATATGCAAATGTAATATATGTACAATTATTCCATATATGAAATATATGCACCTATAAAATAAAAACATATATGTAAAAATTATACATGAAGCCTTTATACACAAATACACAAATTAGATAAATATTGTGGACATATGTTATATAAATATTTATCCATCACATAGCCTGTCAATATATGTTGATTTTATAAACAGTAGCGTCTGAGACCACCTTCAAGAAGTTAGACATTAAAATTAATAAGAAATTCATAAGAAAAATATATTAAGGATAAAGCATTTTTATTAACAATTTTTACATATACAATTTTTACTATAGGTATTTCATATATGTTTTAAACATATAATTTCATATATCCAGAGGATGTATATACTGTATGTGATAAATAATATATCCCCTTGTAGATGACATATATGACAATATCACTCTTGATGTGTGGACATATGTATCACTGTGTATCACTGAGTTGGACTATTTCCTGGAGGGAGTACAGTACAGTACCAGTGTAAACTAGATTCATAGTCACACTCACAAAAACAATACTAGAAAAGACTCGTTAGTTCATTTTTGGTCAGTGTTAGTTGAAGTGACTAACTCACTAGTGACTACTGAGATACTGAAAGTAAGTGAAGAGCTTCTCCTGAGTACAGTACCGGCTGGCTTCAGTTTTGTCCTTCTTCACGCCGACAGCTTCATCATCTTCTCCGTCTGCTCGTTTTCGTCGCAGACGACATTTGTTTCCATCTACACTCAGATCCATTTCAATGCATATAGCTGAAAACACATGGAAAAAACAAACTGCAAGAACAAGGAAACAGAAAGGTGGTGTTGTTGTTCTTCTTCGGTTTTTTTTGTTTAATGGCGGTTGGCAGACAGCTTTTAGGTGGATTACCGCCACCTTCTGGACTGGAGTGAGGATGAGCATAGTAGTGGAAAACTTGCTAAAATAACATGTGAAAAATACTGCTGTTGGTCCGTAATTTATTCTGTCATCGTCAAAAACTGAAACTGTACTGGTTTATGAAAACAACTTAAAGTGTTATATTCTTTTTAAAGCAACTGCTTGAAATGAAGCTAAGGTTTTACCATATTATGTTGCAGTTAACTCACTAATTAGTAATTAGTTTATTTTTATTTTATATTTTACAGTGTTCATGCAGTCACTTCTACATGAGAAAATGGACCGAGGCCAGCTGGACAAAGGAACCAATCTTTTGTTATTGTGCATGACCAGACACATTGACTTGGAGGAGAATAGTCCCTAGCGGTAAACCATGGAACAACAACATTAGTGGGGGAAGTAAATATGGCGATTTCAGCACCTCTCAGTAGAAGAAGAATAGCAGTATGTGAAAAGGAGTCTGTTAAAAGTCGGATAAATCAAGGGCCATTACAAAAATCTACAAGAAAAAGTGGGGTAGGGACTGTAACTTAGGCTACTAAATCCATGGAAATCTAAACAATTATTGGTAGTCAGCTATTATTCGTTTTCAGTTGTTTTCTTTTGACCCAGAGGTTTTTAAATAATCCTATACTGCAAGTTGTAACATCTGAAGACATACAAAATATTTCAGATTTTGTTGTGGCTGTTACCTGAAATTTTCAATTATTAAAGTAGAGACAAATATTATGAAAAACTGGCAACATAACTGAGATAAGGTGAAAACAGGGTGACATTTTTATGCAATTCAGAGGGAAGTGGACACTATGCAATCAATAGGAAGAAACACCAAAGAGGAAAACATAAAAACAAGAGTGAGATTCTAAAACATGAGAAAAAAATGTGTGAGCACTGTCATAAGAGTCAGTGGTTCACTTATCATGACAGTGCCAAAAACATACTTCAGAAAAGACACATAACCAAGGGGCAACTCAGAAAGCAGGGATTAAACACGGTCACTCTTAGATTGGGGAGATGTAACAGTTTAGTGTTTTATTTTACATTGGATTAATGAAAATATTTGAATGAATAGCATCTTAACATTTGTTGCCATCCGCCAAAGAAAAACAATATGTAGATGTTACTCATAGTGGTATCTGTTGGTAGCTCTATTGTGAAAGGCTATCGGGTAGCCAGGACGGAAGTGACGTCAGACAGAGGCAGTGGATCACTGAACAGGATCCTAACAGGGAGCAAAGAGACAGCGGCTACAGGGGAGAGGATCCGGGTAAAAATCCTCATCGTTAGCTCCTCAAAATCCGTCTTCATCCGTGGAGAATTACAGCCGAATCATATCAAAAACAGTGAGAGCATAAAGTACACACTTTAACCTTTTTAACAAGCTCCGTATTACCACTGTACGAGGTTAGCAGTATTTTAAAACAAGTGGCGAAAGATTGTGAGAGCTGACTTCATCCGGAGACAACAAACGGAAGACAGTCCATCGCTTGAAGAGATCCTGTGTTGGATGCTCTGCGTATACTGCTTTTGAACAGACCTGGGGTTTAAACCTGAACATTTTATATTTGATATTTTGGAGCTAGCGAGCGTGCTTGCTAGCCGACCACAGCTCGTTTATCATGGAGTTGAGAGTGGGAAACCGATACAGACTGGGCAGGAAAATTGGAAGTGGATCATTTGGAGATATCTACCTGGGTAAGTTGTAGTCAAAGAAACTTGATATGGTGTTTCTATTTGTGCCCTTTTACAGCAACAACGCGAAGCCGTGAGACTTTGTTAGCTAGTTTCCTTTCCGGGGTCCCCGAGACGAGCAGATAGTCAATCAGCTGTTCGGTGTTTAGTGTTCGCAGCATCAGCCACCAAGCTAGCAGTCTGTGTAGCAGCTAGCACTAACAAAACGCCTGGTACGTTGTAATAACAGTAAACGATGTATTTGTTCATTGTGCTCGACTTGGGGAACACTTTACATTTCATAATGTGAAATCAGCGTCCAAAATTAACCGTGCTAACGACATGAATGGAGACTGACGGCTGCTGTGGAGCTAAACCTTTTATCACATATCAACGAGCTAATGTTTGAGTTTCCTCTTTGCCTTAAAGGGAAGCGTCAGTTGTCCGGGGACAGAATAACTGACCAGGCCATAGGCGTTACGCTTTGGTGCCTGAGGTGAAATATAACATGTAACTGCTAATGTCAAAGCCACATGCAAATACATAAGGCCGATTCAGGTTCCCCTCTGTCATATCAGAAGTGTAGCTACGTCTATCAGGAGGGTTTCTTCGAGGTTTATACGGATTCATCTAAATGTTTTCTGTTTATTCTGAAAATAACGCGTTATTAAAAGTGTGTTAATGTCTGCTGTGTTCAGTTTGAGACTTAAATTGAACAAATGAAGCTCTGTGGTGGTTAATAAATTCAGCTGCTAGTGAGACTGTTCATCTTGGTAATAACTGATAGGAAGTGTTAACTCTCATTCAAGGTAAAGGTTTAGAAGCCATTGACATTAGCAGCAATTAGCAGTAGCAGTTCGGTCAGATGTTAGAAATTGTTAAGAGATAACGGGAAGCACATCATTACTGAGCTCAGTGCAATTCAGGTACAAAGGTCGGGAAAACTTAGACACCAGAGACATCTTTCTGTCATTGAGCTCTACCACCTTTATTTCATGGTATCCTCTGATGGCCGAGTGAAGGTCTACAGCTCTTGGCAACAGTGGTCAAGAACAGCTGATCACATTTCCTTGCTTAACACTTAGTCATCTGAACAACAGTAGAGAAGAGACATTGTTAATTCATGAAGCACTTTTACAGGCTGTGTGGACTGACCACTTCATCACTGACACCTAATCAATTCCTACAGAACAATACCCTGAGATATTCATATTTTGACTATCTATACTGTAGTGACAGAAGTATCTTTCAAAATATACTTTGAAAATGATGAAATCTTTTACCTGGAAATAGACTAATGTTTACATATACATTACTTGCTTACTATTAATTGATTATAAAATTACTATTATTAATTTGCTATTGATCAACTAATCTGATTGTTTCAGCATAAAACTAGACTGTTGAATTTACAGATTATCAGTAATTTAGTATTGATAAGCAGTATAAAGGTGTTATCTTTTGAGAGCATGTTTTGTTTTCCTACCTAATTGTTTAGTGGTTTTGTGTGTTTTAGCATCACATACTTTAAACATTTTAGCCTTTTGCAAACAATGCTACTGTATTTTAGAAATATGTACGCATTGTGTTGTATAGTTCCATGTGTTTATTGGTTCCATTTATTTCTGCAGGATTTTAAAATGTGTTGACAAGCTCTTGAAACTTGCAGATGCAGTGTAGACTTTTCAAATTAGTCTGCAATTAAACTGCTTTACAGTGCAATGATCAAGTCAAGTAAATTTTTATTTGTATAGTGCCAATTCACAACATTTGTTATCAATGATGGAGTGTAACGTTGAAAAACATGAATGCAGATTCAGTTTCCCCTCAGAAAATGTTAAGCAGAGCTGGTAAAACACCCAGTTTGTGATACATCTCCAGTCATTATCAGTTCATGTAGTAGATGAAGGCGATGAAGAGAGAAGCTTGTTAAATTTCCTGCATGTGACTTTTTTTTGTGATGGTTTATGTTTTATTTTGTAAAAGAGGTGATTAAAATGCTAAATGTTTCACATTGGTTAAGATGTGAGGTGGAACGCCTCCACTACTAAGTTTTAGTTTTAAAACTAATCTCTTTTGCTGCATTTACACTTGTTGTCCACAGTACTCTGGAGTTTTTGAGCCCTTGAAATGGAGTCTTTTGGAAACATTTTTGGCCAGTTTTAGTTTGAAACTCCAGGGTTGTGTTTTTGTATGGACCTGAAGAAACGGAGATCTTTGGAAACAATGACATATTGGTTCTTATCAGCCTCGATCACCAGTGATAAATACAACATGAATGAATTAAAAGCGTTACTGGCCTTGTTGTCTTTGCTAGCAGATGTTGTTCGGTTAAATTGGATGGCGAATTTTCTGATTCAGAGCTAAAACGCTCGTCTGGGCAGAGAAAGTTTTTATTTTAAATCCGTTTTAAAATGAAAGCGTAATAGTGTGGACGTGGCCTGAGATTCACAGGTTAAGCAAGTTTGAATGGTCAACCAGTTGATTTTCATAACAACACAAACAGCCTCCTGGAATATTCAGAAATGTAAGTCCGAAACTTTAATAGTTGTATTTGATGCTACTTTGGTTAATGATTCGGTCGCACTTAGTACCCCATAAAAGATGAAATTAAGTGTTTTAATTTGATTAACATGTTAACAAGACTGACTTCCTGATATTTGGTGGAGATCAGCCTTAACTTATATTTCTTCGTAGACAGATAGCTAAAAAATCATTTCAAATCTTATTTTGGTTTGCTGTGTTACAGAGCAGCACTTGGATGACCTCTACCCCATAACGTCTACATTGTGTTATATTCCCGCACAGATCTGTATATTAGAAGTGCTTACATATGTTGATATGAGTATTATGAGCATAAATTAGTGGTTTGAAGTTGTTCTGAAAATCCTCTGGACAAGCTGGCAAACTAGTCAGCCTGTGAGTGTTCAGGAGAGGGAAGGTTAATTAATGCATTAATTGGATCCCGTCTATCTTCCACATGAGCTGCTGTGTGGACTGACAGTGAGAGCTGCCAGCTGCTTACATAATCACTTTGTGTTTTTGTCTTTGCTCATCCCTCCCTCCTCTCCCCTCTGTGTGGCTGGTGACTAATGTGACGCAACATTGTTAACAAGCCAGAACAGTGTGTGTTTATTTAAAATCAAAGTGCCTCACCCACCCAGTGCTTCCAGTTTCTGTAGACTGATGGCAGTATCAGTTTTTGTTTTACATTTAATGCACACAAGGTCAATCTCAAAGAACACATAACAAAAAATACAGTTTGACAATTGTGTGTGACCTGGCAATACCTGATACTAAATGTCATTGTGTTTCTCAGTAAGTCCCACATGAATACTCCCACACAGTGTGTTAGCGTGTTTCAATAACGCTGACAGTGTGTGTGAGCAGCTTGGTGCGTCGGGGCTGTCTGAGTGGTGGATTGTGTTTGTATTGGTGTGAGAGGCTGTTTGTTATTGGCAGCAGGAGGAAGAGATGAGGTCAGCTCTTGGAACGAATCCTTGTACTCTGTGTTCTGTGACTGGGTTCAAATGTGGACCGTCAATTATTCAGAACTGGTAGAATAGCTGGTAATCTCTGAGGTTCTGACACGACGTGTGTATCAGCGGTTAGTCCTGTTGAATCATCTGTTGCTGTTATCTGGTGGGTGATGTGAATATTTGGTTGATGTTGGAAAAAAAAAACTACATAAATCCAGATGCTGTGTCCAAACCCCCTGAAGCAAACCGCACCTCAGCGAGTTTCCCTCTTGTAGCTATTACACGGGTTTGGCTCAGTATGTTTTCTTTGAATTCTGATATTGACATTGGCTGCATGTGAAACAATGTAACCCCCTCATTAGTGCCGTCACTGCTTGTTTGGTTCCGAGCAAAATTTGTCTGGTAAACTGTCAAGTACCATTGAACATCTCGTTTCCTTCTTAGTTGCTGAATTAAATGAAAATATTGCTAATTTTAGACTTTTTATGTAAGGTTCTTGTATATGTGCTTGTCTTTAGACAACATTTAAAGCAATTGAGTATTTTGGGATCCAAGCTGTTTCAAATTCTTCCTGGGAGTTAGTTAAGATGTCCTTTAACAGATGCATATTTAATATTTGCTTCTTACTACTTTGCCTCTGTTGCTTTTTGGGAACCAGTGTAGAGGGATGTGTCTGAACACGTTCCCCCGCTGCACAACTCAGGATAAAAACACACCACATATGTACGCACCATCTTCCCAGTAACACACTAGTGTTCATTTTGTTTTAGTCCTGAGATAAAAAAAAAAAGTTAGTTTTAGTCATATTTAGTCAACCTCACCTTTATTTTCACCAACTAAAAGGCTGGAAACTTTAGTCTTGAGAAAAACATTTAAGTTTAGTTTTAGTCAGGACCAAGAATGAACGTTTTCCAGGGTTCAGGTCCTGTCAGCAGCAGCAGACTTACCTGCTGTCAAATTTAGCTTTTGCCTGATGGTGTTTGAACTCTATATACATCATCCTTGTGTTTGATCTGATCATGCCGTCTGTGTGACATTATGACATACAGAGATTTTACATATGCTTCCTGCAGCTACCACTACCTGTTACGTCTTCTTCCTGTTTATCACTGCTGTGGGGAGAAGGGGGGGGGGTTACTCGTGTACAGTTGTTTGTGTCATGTTGGAAAAACTGCGAAACCTTATAAAGACATTAAAAAAGTGAACATTTTTATAAAACTTGAGCATACTGACTATAACAATTAAGTCTGGAGAGATGCAACAACATAAGCAAGTCCGTTCCTTTGTGTCTCTTACAATATGAGTCAATCAGGAAGTGTCCAGAGAAAAGAAAACTCTTCATAATCAACAACGTTGTGCAACAGCCCTGCAGTAAATCCCACACTAATAATGTCCAGACTGTGCCAGGAAGGTGTTGATTTTATTCTGTAGGCCTTAGTGGTGGTATTGTACTAGATTGTGTTTTACAGTAAGTGTTTATAATAGGTTTTACACTACCATTTAAATAGAGGAAATATTTGCCACTCAAAGGACACTTAGATTATTTAATTGTTTGAAAAATCACTCTGTAATTTCACTTTGTCTTTTTTTTTTTATCAACAAAAATTCCATTAACGTTTACATGTTGATGACGTCAGTGCTGTCTCACCTTAGTCATGGAAAAAAAGGTCATTGATGGAACATGTTTAGTCATAGTTTTCTTAACTAACATCTGCTCCTCCATCTCCTCTTAACTAACATGATCACACACACCCATATATATACACACACACACACACACACTCTCACTTCCCCTCTCTGAGAAGATCGGTGGGGGCGGGGCAGGGGGGTACAGAAAAATCTGTCCAGACAAATCACATTCCTATTGTGCAAGAGAGCACAGTGCACAATGAAACATGCTGCTCAGACTGTGAAGAGCCTTTACAGACTCTTTAACCATCCATGATAATTAATTGATTGATTGATCTATTGATTGGCCCAGGACAAACTAGGACAACACACTTTGGGTGTGTTTCAATGTGTTGTACCCAAACTGTTTACTTGTCAAAGGCGATGTAAGCAAACGGCATACTTTACATACCAATATAAACCTGTTACATCAATGTGAGGCAATAAGTAACGGCTATTTACATTATTAATCAATCTATCAATTATTCTCTCCATAAATCAGTCTATAAAATTATAATGGACATGACATGTTATGCCTTAAAATGCTTTACTGAATGTATAGACTATTGCTTAATATTCAGATTACAGTGATGTGAAACAAACTAAACAAGCAAATGTACAAGTGTGAGCATCAATGTTAACTTGATGGGTTACTTAAACAAAATTTAACACAAAATAATAATTTGACTCATTTTCTGTTGATCAACACAAACACTACAGTTGAGTATTAGAGACTATCTTAGAGAGACTATATTAGAGACTATTGAACTTGTCATTTGTGTCATAAAACTGCCTTTAAAAGTTGATGGCAGACCCACTGATTACTTAGTGGAGTCAGGTCCTAACTGTGTGCCCCGCCCTGATGAGGCCAGCCCACCTAGATGACATCATACAGAGAAATCAATGATGCTCTGCTCTTAGCCTCCATGATTGAATAGCTGCTCATATGAGATCATTTGTGTGAGAAGTGCAGTTATGTAACCTGGTGTCCAGTTGCTCTGTTTATGTGGAGGGGAACTGGACCCCATCACCATATTTAGGAAGAAACCAGCTGAAGCACTGATTTGTCAGATCACACGGCAGCAAAGAGAGAGCAGTCGCAGGCAGACAATTCCCACAATCCTCTTGTCTGTTGAAGTTAGATGAAAATGTAATGATAGCTGTGAGGAATGTGGGCCGTGCATGCAAGTAGATACATGAAAGAAGAGCAGGGTACATACAGTGCACACTGTTGAGCTGTTATCATAAATGCACTGCAGCCCTGAACTTTCTGTCTACCTGGATGAGCTGCATGTGTAAACACAAATGTCCGATCAGTTGAAACCGACATTAAACGGACTTCATCCTGCCAGCTCCCCAGTACAAAGTCTGTGTAATGTCTGATTGAGCCAATGTGAATGGAGTCCGGAGAATTCACAGCTAGCTAATGAGTGTGTTGACTAAGTTTCTATAATTTCCCCTGCACACTACACCCTTCCAGTAAGTGAGAACGGGTCTGACACCGACAGTCTCCTGTTGCAGGCTCCAGACAATGTCCAGTCCTGATTCCCCTGACGTTGTCCGTTCTCCTTCATTATGGCTTTACTGTGTTACCCACCATATTCTCTCGTGTACCTAAGCAGCCTTTCTCCACTTCGATCACCACCTAAGGGATTTGTATATTTGTTAATTATCTTCATATTAAATCAATGGCCTGACTGCAACTGAACTTTTCACCCATGACCATCAGAATTTGTTCAGTATCAACATCATGATAGTATTAAGTTAATACAGAATGACATAGTTACCTGGTGTACTCTATACTCATGAATTTTACCATTTAGGACCTTAAGTTCTGCTTGCCAAAGAAAAGTGGGCATAGAGGGAGAGATGGTTCGCACAATTTAGAACAGGTTCTCAGCTGGAACCACTTCTTGATTGTCATCCCTAGTTACGTAAACGGTAAATGGATTACACTAAATAGCACTTTTCTAGTCTTATTGACCACTCAAAGTGCTTTACAATGGAAGGCACATTTACCCATTCACACACACACACTCTACACATATGGCTCTTTTCTACCACACACGCACATTCACACATCAGTGATACATCAAGGGTAATTTGGGGTTCAGTATCTTGCCCAGGAACACATCCGAATGTGGACTGGAGGAGCTGGGAATCGAACCGCCGTGTACGACCCACTCTACCTCCATGTTTCCTTGCAGCTAACATCTCTGCCTGTCTGTGTCTCTGTCTAGGTACTGACATCTCTGTTGGAGAGGAGGTCGCCATCAAATTGGAATGTGTGAAGACCAAACACCCGCAGCTCCACATAGAGAGCAAAATCTACAAGATGATGCAGGGTGGAGGTACGGCATACTGTAACACACAATGTACACACATCCTGCCACACGTGACTGTTGTTGGTGCCTTTTTATCAACTAAATTCTCCACACTCACTTACAAGCTCAGAAAAATATAATCCAACATCCATCAGTCACTGTAACTCATTAGAAAATGAGTTTGAATTAACTGAGGAACTAACTGAAGGTAAGTAGTGTGTGTACATTCAGCTCACCTTAAAGAAGAATGTGATTTTGTTATAGTGGCCTGAATTTCCTCCCTGATCACTTTGAATGGTGAGCTTCTTAGACACCCCCAAGAAGCCGCCCTCCCGCCCCCTTTCACACATGTAGAAACAAACACTGAGACTTGAAAGACGTAAGTGTCAGATCGAGAGGTTTCAGGACCGAGAAGCTTTTATTAAAGCACGATGCACCGAGGAGAACAGAGACTGCAATGACATCCAATTCTGAAGGACTCCTTCCTGGTGAACCATATTTAAAACCAGACTACGTCACACTTACTACACGTCCAGATTAGGGCACATGTCCATATAGCATTTTACTCTGGTGGAGCACTTCAACAAAAGAGCGTGGAGCATGGGTTTTCTGTGACAACATGACCACCGTAGTATGATACAATATGATACAGCTCAGGATAGACGGACACAACCAGAACAAGCTTCTCCTCCATTTTATTGGTTACTAGGGTGATGAGTCCCGCCCCATCTGATCGGTTGCCTGAAAAGAAGCTACAGTGACGACACCAGTGCCTTTTTGAAAAGTTCAGAGATTTTCAACCAGAAGAGCTCGGAGCAGCCGCACAAAACAGGCGAGAGCTCAGAAAAAAGACGCTGGCACCCAGAAAAACAGGTTACATGGACACACGCGCTAAGGTTATTCTTCGTGCATGAAGATTATTGAAACCTAATCCTAATCATTAAACCATGTTTCACCTAAATCATGTTGTATATTCCTAATACTCTCTGTCCTAGTCAGATAGCACTTGTATAACTTATTGACCCTGAGACACCAGCTGTTTGTTATGGCTCTCGCCTATCTCTGAGAGTCTGCGCTATGACATTGGTTGCTATGGCAACCGCCAAGGGGGATTGGGCAGATGTGTCTTCACAGATATCGTACAGATAAACAAACTTTTGCTTGTAGTAAGTGGAAACACAAGCGACTTCTGGACACATCCAGTGAGAGTCTGTCACATACAGGCGAAGAAACAGTTTTCTACCGACTAGCTCGTAGCTCATCCGTCGTTGCGTCAGGTGTGTTTTGTACGCTGCAGCCTGGAGCCCACACACAGAGTTAACTACATTATACCAACACGGGTTAATGCTGAAAACTGACCATTATTCAGCTGATTGTTCTGGATTTGTTCTTAAATTCAGTCTGAAATGGACAGAGCATCATCTGAACTGTCATTTAGAAATTCAGTTTCAGGTCGGGGGGAGGGGGCGCGAGCACACTAACAAATCCATGACACCAACCGTCTCAATTGTGCAGTCTATAAATAATACCCGAGTCCCAACCCTGCATTTGATTTACATAGTTGTAATGTTTTAAGCCTTGTTGTTTGTCATTTTTCTTGGCATATGAATTTTGAGATTATTTTATCCAGAATATTGAATGTAGATTTTAGGAAATCTATGGATAACATCTGAAATACGTAGGTAGAGTAACCTTGGTAAGACATTTGATTCGTATTGGCACTTAGAGAAAGAGGGAGCGGTTTGGTTGGTGTTTTGTCTCTGTAAGGACGACACATGCGTCTGTATTTTTGCTCCAGCCTAGTAGGTGGGATATATTGAGGCCTGGTGGCTGACCCAGACTGTGGGATATATTTGAGTTTGTATGTATATAAATAGCTGATGCTGAGTGTATATATGTGCGAGTACAGTGCCAGGTGCTGAGCAGCAGCATTTTGTTGCGGTCTGCCTGTAGAAGGAAATGCCATGTGGCCTCTTTGCCTTGGCAACGTCAGCTAATTACCAGCTACTACTGAACCAGCTGGCCTCTGCTCCAACACCCCCCCTGTGTGTGGGGGGATGGTAACTATCTTTCTTTCATTCAGTGAGATTTTTATAAAGAATGTAGCATATCTAGTAATTTCAACATAACAATTCATCATGGGGAATTATCTCATATAAGCTTTCCTCTTTTTTAATGGTGGACACAAGGAATGATGGGTAATATTAATCATGACAAGTGTAGGAATTTGTGATTCACTCAAATGCTATTATGACTTTGTGGGAGGATTATGATCATGGATTATTATTCATCCAGCTCATGTTGGAGACTGTATAATATTGCAAACAAGTCATGATTGGTATTAATCTGAATTATGGAATTTATTGAAGAAAGTTTTGTTAATAATCTTAATTATTGTCTGTGAGGTACAGATCTTTTCACACACATTTATTACTAATTCTACAGTGACAAACACTAAGCAGTGTGCGTCTCACACATTTACACACTGATGGCGCTGCATCAGGAGCAGTTAGGGGTCCAGTGTCTTGCTCAAGGACACTTTGACCTGCTCTCTGCAGGGCGTCCATTCAGGGTTCCTGGTTGGACCACTCTAGGTCCTGAGCCACGCCGCCCCATAAAAGACAAAAATACAAGTGAGAGAATAAATAGCAGCCTAGCAGAGCTCAAATAAAGACAGTTGAAATCGCTGATTCTGAGAGACAGTAAGTTAAATCAACGACAGCTTATGTATTAATTGCCAATTAAAGATGAAAATCATGAAAGAACCTGGGTTTAAAGTGGATGGAGGGTTTGTGAGTCCTGATGAATTTGTGTTTCACTAACGGACCATTCAGAATCCTGGAAAATGAATCTGGAAGGTCATGAATACGTTTGAAAGCTTCCTCAGGGTATGGTGAAGTTTTAAAAGATCTTCTTGGTTCTCTACTCAGACTCTTATTTTTGGCGTTTGTCCTCGTCTCCCTCCCTTCCTCCTTTTTTTTTTTTTTTTTTTTTTTTTTTTTTTTTTTTTTTTTAAAAGTCTTGTGAGAAACTTTATGGAGTGGTAGATTTAGCATGATGGGATTTAAACCAGCAGATTGACACCAAATATATACTTAACTTTTTTAGTATTGTAATATGGGGAAGGTGTGTTGTGGCTACACCTACTGACTTAAGGACAGCGGAACATAAGTCAAACTAAAATAGACACATTATTATATATTATGACGTATTAATATACAGTATTGAATGTCTTGAGTCAGCATCTACAAAATATAAATTAAGTCTGCATTACAGATTCCATAGGTTTCAGTTCTATGTCCTCCTTTGTCTTACAGTGGCTGTGTGTGTGGGGCTAGACCACATGTTTGGGATGTTGTGTCACTGGCCCATGACGTGTAGTGAGTCTTGGTTCTCCTGGTTGTCGGTTGCTGCTTTAATGCTGAATCACTTGGTGACCTACTTTACTTATTTGCCCTGTTATTATTTTAAATACCGGAAATCAGAGTTCAGAAGCTCTGTGGGAGCTGCAGGAGTGTCACGGTCCATCCCTTAAAAATCTGGAAAATCCTGCCTAGGTATTCAGCTCACTGTTGCTATTATAAAGAAATAAATATTATCTTATTAAATTGTTTTATTTGAGACTTGTGGTCATTATTGAAGGTGAGATGAAACTTCATGAAGAACTGAACACAGGAAGAACCATTTACTGTAAATTAAGAAACAAACAAAGCGAACACACTTTATAATTACTCTTGATTTAGAAAATATCAGGGTTTTTATGAACGATAAAAAAAAAACTCAGCTGAATGTGTTTTGGTAACTGTAAGGACCATCTCCATCACAGTTATGATAAAACCAAACGTAACCCTCTCCTCTCTGCTCCCTCCTGTCCTGCAGTGGGTATTCCAACGATAAAGTGGTGTGGCGCCGAGGGGGACTACAATGTGATGGTGATGGAACTGCTGGGACCCAGTCTGGAGGATCTGTTCAACTTCTGCTCTCGGAAGTTCAGCCTCAAGACGGTCCTGCTTCTGGCCGACCAGATGGTGAGACTCAGGAGAGGATGAGAAAAGACGGGAAGGGAGGGAGGGGTGTCCTAATGTGTTGATTGATCCACTGTAAACCTCTACATTAAATCTGTCTTTGCAACATGGTTCATGTTATTAAAGGAATAGTTTATGGAAATCTGCTTACTCACTTTCTTGCTTGTTTGATGAGAAGATTAACACCACTCTCCAGGTAAATAAATCTGTAAGGTAAATATGAAGCTAACGCCAGCATCTGGTTAGCTTCACTTGGCGTACCAAGAGCCTGTGTTCCAGTGACCTGAGAGGCCTGGTGGAGTTATATGGCACTGGCAACTATAGAGACCCATACATGACGCTCAAGGTATCTGGAAACCAACTTCAGAAAGAGCTAAACTCACCGTTTTCCCCAGTTTTCAGTCTTTATGCTAAGCTAAACTGTCCGGCCATGAGAGTGGTATCTTCCCCAAATGTTAAACTATTCCTTTAAGAGTACTGAAAAGATTTTGTTCACACATCACTGGCCTGATCCATACATGATCCAGAATCACTTTGCCATGACTGGAGCTCTGTTTTAATCTCACTGATCGAATGTTTCTGACCACAGTCCTCTCTGTCGCTGACATGAAACCCTCTCCTGCTCTTCCCTCCAGATCAGCCGTATTGAATACATCCACTCCAAGAACTTCATCCACAGAGATGTGAAGCCAGACAACTTTCTGATGGGGCTGGGTAAGAAAGGCAACCTGGTGTACATCATCGACTTCGGCCTGGCCAAGAAATACCGCGATGCCCGCACGCATCAGCACATCCCCTACCGCGAGAACAAGAACCTGACCGGCACCGCCCGCTACGCCTCCATAAACACACATCTGGGCATCGGTATGACACGTCCATTATGCCATGAATGGACAAATCATTCGGATCCTAATGAAACCATGATCTGACCCTCTATTCCCTCTCTCTCTGTCTACAGAACAGTCCAGACGGGACGACTTGGAGTCACTGGGATACGTCCTCATGTACTTCAACCTGGGTTCTCTGCCCTGGCAAGGCCTGAAAGCAGCCACCAAAAGGCAGAAGTACGAACGCATCAGTGAGAAGAAGATGTCCACACCCATTGAGGTCCTCTGCAAAGGCTACCCATGTATGTTTGAGCGATCCCTCCATGTTTCATGAGCTCTGTAGCTCTTCAGTCCTTCAGCCTTTGTATCAGAGGTGACAGTCTGTTTGTGAACGTTCTCGTCCTCTTCGTCTCCACAGCCGAATTTGCCACCTACTTGAACTTCTGCCGCTCTCTGCGGTTTGATGACAAACCCGACTACTCGTATCTCCGCCAGCTCTTCAGGAACCTCTTCCACAGACAGGGCTTCTCCTATGACTACGTCTTCGACTGGAATATGCTCAAATTTGTAAGTTTTATAACCACATTCAGGGGATTTATTTCCTCCCAAGTCACTCACCTCACCTTTTGCAATACAGACTCCTAACACCCTTTCTTGCTAACACCAACACAACTGTAAACTCATGGGACAAAATAATCTCAGCTCAAAGGTCTACTTACTTGCTTTTTCTGAGCTTTTCTGCCGCATGCAGCAGATACAGTACTGCTCAAATCTAAAATCATGCTCCACACTGCCTTTGTGCATTTTCATTTCATTTTTATTGAAATGTTGAAATCTGCAGGTATAAGGAGCCAAAGTACATAGGGGCCTTTTTGTATAAGTTTAACTGCCAAAAAAACCTTGAGCCGAACCAATGTGACCAGCAACAAAGAATAAAACCAGTGTTACAAATGTGTTTCAAACATGCTGCCATGAACTGCTCACTGAAACTGCAGCAGCCATCTTACAAATATCCAGTAACAGCATTTTTTTTTGCGTTACGGCTTACAGCAGTGTTGTGGCTGCCAGAGACGATCCGCAGTCATTCTCAAACTCAGATATTCCCTGAGATTAAAGGGGTAAATTTACAAGAAAAAACTCAGAAGTTCTCTGAGGTTAAAATCACAAATATAGAAGAAGGAACCACATCACATTGGTTAGATCAACCTCATCACACCACAGACACCTAGATGAAGGAAACGTTGGTGTTATCACTCCGATTGTAAACACTGATATTTCACAAACAACCTTTAAATCAATGGCTTTACATGTGGTCTACTCGTGGCTTATGGATCAGTATTTCTGTCTCAGAATGACAGTGTCCTCGTGTCTCCCATACTTCCATTCTCTCTTCGTACTATAACTGGTTTGTGGCGCATACAGGCTGAACAAAGATACTGTAGTAAAGGGTGATAACACATTACAAGCTTACAGCAGCCATCAGGCGCCCGGTGCTGCCATTGCATTAGACATCGAAAGACTACGTGGGAAGGACTTATTTTGATTTATAGATTTATAACTAGATAGATGCTTCTGGTATTTTAGCTAAATTACAGCAGGTGTGTTTTTTTTGGGGGGGGGGGGGGACACATCATCTATCCTATTTTGGTCTTGTAAGGTTTTTAGTTTGGACTGTGTATCCTTAAAAGTAAGTTTGTGCATAAGTTAGGAAAAAGAAAATTGCTCAGAGTTGACAATATTCAACAAGAGACTATTCCACCAGCACGTAACATCTATTCACCTGTGGATTCACTTGTGTGTGTGTGTGTGTGTGTGTGTGTGTGTGTGTGTGTCAGGGTGCCAACAGGGCCGTGGAGGACGCAGAGAGGGAGCGTCGGGAGCGGGAGGAGAGGCTGAGGCACAGTAGGAACCCCGGAGCCAGGGGCATGGCCTCGGCCTCGGGAAGAGCCAGGGCAGCTCAGGACGTCGCAGCCCCCTCCCCATTAAACCCTGCCTCACACACAGGTCAGAACACACACACTTGGCTTTCCAAGTGTTTGTATTGATTACATTTATTTGCTATTGAAAATGAAGACTGGGTCGAGACTGGGTCGATGTGACACCATTATGTTTATGTTTCGTGTGTCACAAAGCTTCTGTGACCTGAGACGTCTTTTTAACACAACTTAACGGAGAAGTTTCTAGTTCTGATTTGATTTCCGTGTTCTACAGCAGCTCTTATATATGAGTCAGTTCTGTGTTCTTTTTAGTCTCTTCAGCTGCTGGTGTTATTTTTCTTTTTCTGCTGACAATGCGGTTATTTGACTGCACTACAGCCACATCTCAGTGTTCACTTTCAGCTTCCTCTCTTTAATAATTTGACTTGTGGTCCCTTCTCTGTCTGTCAGGTATGGAGAAAGAGAGGAAAGTGAGCATGCGTCTTCATCGTGGAGCACCTGTCAACATCTCCTCCTCAGACCTGACGGGGCGCCAGGACACATCCCGCATGTCCACCTCACAGGTAACACACACACACACACACACACACACACACACACAGAGAAAGACAAAGACTGTACGTTGTTGTGCGATGTATGAGACCTGTTTAAGCTACATAGTGGTATGTTGGAGTTAAAAAGAACAACAGGACAGAACTGAATATTGCAAAGTCAGTAATTTTGTCCTCAGTTGCCTGATGAAGATCGACGCATCTTGAAAAAGGGAACCTTTCATTACAGCAGAACACACAGTGTGTATCAGCACAAACAGATCCTCTTCAGACAGTGTTTAAGCTTGTAACACTTCCCCTTTTTACTCGTACCAAATGTTCCTTCCTCTTTTTTCCATTTTACAATCCAACATGAGCCAAATAACAGCAGCTTTGTAATGTCTGAACTCAGAGAGACAGACAGAGGGAAAAATGAGATTACATTGAATAATCATCTGTCTCCTTTTGAAGTGTAAGTGCATCTCCTTCCATCGCACTCGCGAAACAAAAAAAACCCCAAAAACATCCTAGCAGCACTCCGCAGTTTAATGATTTCATTAGGTCCTCTCCTCTTTTCCTTCGCACAGCCCCGTAAGCTGTTTGTTTGTACTTTTAAGAGGTGGAGGGGTATGTAATAAGGGGGGCTTGCCATTCACTAATGGCAGACATTGCACTCTACGGCCCCCTCTTGCCAATGGGCCTGCATTCTTGTAGAGCAAATGTTCCCCCAAGAGGTGAAGAGTGGAACCGCCGCTCAACACTAACAATGAAAAAGAGATGATGTCCACCGCAAAATCAACCTTTACAGGTTTGATATTTCATTGAAAGAAATCAAAACCTCAGCAGGAATTGTCTGTAATAGTTGACAGTTTGATATAGAAAAAAAAAGAAGCCTGACAGGAAGTTGAGTCCTCACTGAACCAGCCGTCTTTGTGATCTCTACTGTGTCCTCTGGTGATCAGAACGCAGCTCATGAATAATGCAAATCCTCCTGAATAATTTAAATCATTTGCATGTGTTAATATGCAGCACTATTAATATTTCTTGTGTAAACCTAGACAGTTACTGGTATTGTTATTGTCTGTGTAAAACAGTGAGTTAATTTCATTTTAATGAGTCACTTCACCCCAAAAATAATAATAACATATAAACAGTGTGTATGTATTATGTAATTCTAATGGTAAAAATCAGTGCAGAAACATGATGATGCCGAGATTCCGTCAGTATTCAAACACATTGAGGTGAATTACTTGTGTGGTGTGGACGGCATGTTAAAATGTTGTTCAGGAAAATCAGAGAGAGTGGCTCAAATAAAAATGTCCACATGAACCGAAGAAGTCAACAAACAATAAAAACAAAAAGTCAATGTCTGTCTTGATACTGTCTTCATGTTTCCCTGTATATAATAGTTTGGTCGTTTAGTGAGACACGAAACACAGGGAGAGCGACGGTGTGAAAATTTTGCAGTAAAAGTTCCCAGTTGGAGAAATGTGAACATCATGGTGTCCATTTCCAACCACTCAGCTGTATAACACCCCAGCTTTCATTATATTCAAATAATGTATTCAAACCCCCACATCCCACCCCATGATCACATGTCATCTCTTCATGGGGGCGTGGAACACGAGGCAGCTAACACTATAGACTGGGAACGTTTTGTTTCTGGTGTGAAGGAGTTCTGACCTGGATCCGACCCCTCTAACGGGAATTCACAAGTTCGAGGGAGATTGTTCCGTAACCCTCTTCCTGTGTTTACTTTCCTGCTCCAGCCAGACAATCTGAGCAATGGTGTTTGGTTGAAGCCTGTGTTCAACAGTAATGAGTTTGAGGTCAAAAAGGCAAGAAAACACTGAAATTATAAACTTTGTGTATAAAGTGAGTAGAGTCGCATGGAAAGTCAGAAAAACATAAAGATGCCGTAAAAAGCCACCAGCAAACGTTAACTCCTGCAACTCTGGTGACACCCACACACACTCTTACCCTAACCTACCTTAACCGTCACAAATAAAGGCTTAATCCCAGCTCGAAGTTTAACCAAAACCCAGTCGTAACCTGAACCCTAAAACCAGTCTTAACCCTCAAACAGCCCTTTGAAGTCATAGTGGTTTTATAAAGTCTTAAATCCAACATGTTGAAACCTGCAGAAAGCCTGTCACAGGCTGCAGCTTCATATTTATTCATCAAATCTCATCCAACTCCTGGTCAGAAAGTCATGTGTATTGAACTTCTTCCTTTTGGCCATTTTTGTATTGTTGATGACATCATCATTAAAGTGTCGTAATTTCTCATGTGTCCTCCTCAGGCTCTGTCCCGGGTCACACCCAGTGGCCTCCAGTCTGCAGCTCCACGGTGAAGGTCCTCCCATCCACCCATGCACCATGGAGGCCTCAACATGCAGCACACACATACACACACACACATACACCAGACTCTTGAATGACGCTGAGGACGACCAACCAACGCGCAGGAGTCTGGCTGCGCTCTTGTTCACTTGACGGAGGAAGAGTCGCACAACCAGGAGTGTGTTTGTGTGTGTGAGAGAGAGAGATGGGCGGGTGGAGTACAATTTGGTTGCCTTAACCACCTTGGCAAAGTAGCAGCCACAGCCTTCCTCCTTCTTCTTCTTCTCCTCCTCCTCCTCCCATGGAAGTTGTGGACACACTCCCTCTCCTCCTCCTCTCTGTTGATGAAGCCATGGATTCACTTTTCTCTGGCATCATGGTTTTTTTTTTTTTTTTTTCTTTTTGTTTAACTTTGGTTTTACTTATTTAAATTCTTTAGCATTAAACTTCCTCTTACACCAGCTCCACTGGTCAGACTTCACAAGGGTTTGAAAATGGAGAATGACAAGTCGTTATTGAAAATAGTGTGTGGGACTTTTTTTAAATTCTCAAATCAAGAAGACGCATGATCCATCACGGCAGTGTTAAAGGACAGTGCCTAAGCTCTATTTTCTGTCCTGAAAGACTCTTTAAATACCACAATTCAACATTTTTTTCTTTTTTTAGGTGTTTGAGGTTTAAATTTAAAGGCGGGAAAACCCCCCAATGTTTTTAAAATGGGACAGGAAGGTCCCATTAATGTTCTGTTTTCCAAACTGATCCCATAGTATGAGTGTTTTTGTCCTCCTCAGGTGCATCGGAACCAGGATGTTGTAGTAAATCTTAAAAACATGCAGCACATTTTCTTTGTGTCTTCAGGTTGTGACTGCAGCGTGCTGCTGGGGAAAGCTGTGAACGGAGCAGTGAAACAGTCGGGAAGTTGATCTGTCCGCGCTTGAACGGATGAGATGTTGTTTTTTTTGTGCATAGTGACGTGGTTTTCGTGTGTGTTTGTGTGGTTCTGTCTTAGGCTTATACAGGCTCAAAGGGGGTATGTGTGTTGTCTTTTCCAATGTAACGATACTTCGCTGCAATTTACAGCTTTACAACTGTAGGACGGAGCATAACATTTGTTGTCGATTTGCATGATTCTTTTGGAGAAACGCGTCTTATTAAACACGACAAACTGCTCTTTAGGGAGTTTGGTCAGAATGTCCTGATTAATTTCTTCTAGCCTTATCCCGAGCTAAGTAACTTCATATTGAGTATGTGCCATCACACAATGTTTTACCACATGGTTGCACGGTGCACAACTGAACTACAACAACTCTAGAAAACATAGTTGATAGGTGACATGTCAAAATTAAAGGCGCACTCCTCCTGCATTACTACTCAGCCTGTGGAAGCAGATGTATGATGTCTACTGGTGCTCCGGAGGAGCTTTAGCATTAAACTGTATGGAGTTGCATCACGGTCTATGTAGGATTCAGTGTTTTTGGAGCTTGATCGTATTAGGAGGATTGGTATCTTAGTCTCGGTTGCCTCATTCTTCATTGAATCTGTTGTTGGAAGCCCCACAGCGTTATGAATGGACGACAGTTAAATTGCTGGAGTGTTTGAAAGATGCACTCCCAGAATTTGGCACCTTGCCCCAAGTTGAGCTTCAAAGCGTCAGCAGCAAATTTAGGAGCTCTCTTGATATATATATATATATATATAACAAATAAAACAATAACAAAAACTATCCTGTACCCCAGCCTTGTTTTAACTCTTTTTTTAACAGTATAAACACTGAAGATGTCATGAATAGCTGTAACTGTTACCATCTTTTTAAAAACACAAAAAAAGGAGTTGGAGCCAGTACCAGTGCTGTCATGTTTCAGTTTTTAAATCCACTCCACAGATATTTTATCGTGAATTTTAACAGCTGGAATAGATGGAGCACAGTAAGGTGATAGATACAAGGGACTGAAAAAATCTTTAGGCTTAATGCAACAAATATATAAATCACACCTGACCAAGTAAACGTTGGAAGAGATCTGAGAACCCCGGTAGAAAATGGGTGGGTGTGCTTTAACATCAGGTTGAATGGGGTTAAGGTGAAGTGAGGAGGTTTTGGAGAGGTCACGTCTGAGTCCCAACAGGTACCAGAACTAACCGACGTGACCAATGAATCCTGCAGATTTTGAAGTAGCTGGTAGACTGGTTCCAAAGTGTTGTAGGCCATTTTGTGTAGTCGAAGGGGAAACGGGGGTTGTAGTGCTAATTTGTACATGTTTGTTCCGTCGTTGTGTGTAGGATGTGCCTACTCTGTCCACCACTCTGTCCACATGAGAAACGGTCAGGTTTGGGATGGTGACAGTGTATAGAGGGACTGGGGATGCTTCACTCCATTAGAGTTTCTGCTGAGGCAGCTTTTTTTAAAATAAACTTCACCTGTGGGCTTGAAAAACAAACCAAAAAAATAGATGAACATATTTGTCTCACTGATGATGGCTATGATAACTGCAAGTACACTTTACATGGGATAATAGTTTACTTTTTTCAGTCTGTTTGACTCGGTTATTTCTTATGTTCGTCACCACCTGTGCAATTTGCTTTTAACTGTGCAGTGGAGATGGTTGCTCATGTCCCACAATGCATCTCTTCACTGTGGATTCATGGGAAATCTTTGTGTTTCCACTCCCACCTTATGACTTTTGCTCCTCACTTGTAATACCACTGTATTTGTGTATTTTAAAATTGTGTAAATAAATTAATAAGTACTTGTATTTGTTGTTTTTATTGACTTGAATGAAAGATATTTTTGGGGTTGGTTTGCATGTATTTTTGCCATATATAAAAAAAATTCCTGGATGTGTGAACATGGTGACACCACAAAATATCTCTTCTGGATTCAGGTCCACGTGGATTTACCTTTTACAACAGAGACATTTTCTCTGATACAGAGTTTGAACCATGCGTGATGTCAGACGGCAAGACCCCGATGACACACCTGTGGTTTCAACTTTCATTTCCGCTGTGCTGCCTTCACCCTGCTCATGCCTGGGCGTCTGCCACTGAACTTCTTCTCTTACCCAAAAATCAGCAGCCGCAAACACAAACAAAGCGAAGAGCGTGAGGTAGTCAGTCATTGCTTGGAGGGGCCAACACAGAATCACTACGTATTCATATATTGCTGCAAACAACATGTTCAATCCATTCTAATGCCATAAACATGGCATGCAGTTCAGCGGGATACACATTCAAATAATCAGGGGTTGTCAGATCCCACCAGTGTGTGAGTTCCATCTGTAAAAAACACACACTGTCTTTATATTTACAGTCTAAAACTATTCACTGGTTCAATCAGCGGCTTTATTGCTGCGTTTCATCAATAGGACGGTCACGCCACTATCACATACTCATGTCCCCTCCTTCTCCCAACATGTCTGCAGCAATCTTTTTGTTAGACAACTATCTCCATGCCCCTTTAGGTTGACCTAGTAATTGGCCACCAGATGTTCCAGATGTGACCATACAATGGCATTTCACACGCTTCAACTTAAGAGTGCGCACGCATTGGGGACACTGTAAAATCAGGATTTTAGCAGCAGCTTTTCATGTCTTTTCATTTTCAAGTTCATCAAGTCCACACTTCTTGACTGTATCAAGCCTTCTGGACTTCATACAGTCTTCCAGAGAGTTCATGCAGATTTCATCACACTTCGCTCAGAAAATGACCCATGGTCCATAGTTCATTTTTGTTGTACAAGTTTATTGATGGAGTAAGGCTTCATATTGCACATACAATACATGAAGAGGCTGAATAATTTAGATTTCTATTTCTATAATCTGCGAAACCAAACGACCAAAGGCTGGCTTCTGTCCCTCTTGAGGGTTTAATGTTGACATCATGTTTGGCAGCTCATACAAAGGGAACATTTTACTGCACATTCTGACCACATCTGTCATGACTACTACGTAAAGCAACAACACCTGCACACATCATGTGGAAGTTGCCAGTATCAACACCATTAAGAACAGTTCAGAAAAATACTTTGAAATGAGTTACAGGGTCACACCTTTTAGTTCATCCCCAGGGAGACACAATGAGGCCTTTCAGTCCTTTCTCAGGACATTTCATCCGTCACTGTATGTGTGACAAAAATCTGCAAGGGCTTTCTGCAAGTGAGGAGGGTGCATGCTCACACACTGCCAGATTGTAGGTCTGTGTCACGTGTCGGAAAAATACGACACACAGTATACCCCAGCAAACAAGCTTCAGTTCAGGGTTCCCTGAACATAGCAAAGATAATTCAGTAAAGTTTTCTGGTATAATATATGGTTCGTGGACCTTTTTGAAAAAGTGTGGGTTTATGTGCTCAAATGAAAGACCTTGAACTTGTAAAGTGACACCCAGAAATAATGCCAAAGTTAAGTAAATCAGCCTCTGTACACCTGTAAAATAAATCTGCATGAGAAATTCAAGTTTGCACATGTGTAGAAAGGATTTCTATTTGTAAAAAATAATATTGTCCTTGTGTAGAAAATATTTGCATTTGTAAAAAAAAAAAGAAAAAAAAGAGACTGAATAAAATCTGTGACATCAGCGGTGACGTTACACAAAGTCACTGAAAAAAAGAAGTGCTTCTGTGAACATCTGTTTGCAGATACAAAGCAGACAACTGCGTGTTAAACTCAGTGCTCAAACTTCCTGGACTACTGTAACAGAGATCCCACTATATTGGCATTAAGACAACCCTTCATTATGGCAGCTTTGCTTGTTTACAATGGACAGGTTGGTTTGCAGAGGTGCATGGATGAGCTGTACTGTGCACTTTTCTGATGTGAGCAGGCCTTTTGTAGGATAAATTGATTGTTGGTTTTTTAATATTTATTTAATTTAAAAGGAAGCTCTTTAATACATGTATTGCACCAGATCCAGCTAAAAGCTCATTTCCATGTGATTTGTTGACACCAATACAGAATATTGCCAATCTTTATTTGCTGGTGGCTACATCAAAATATAACTTGTGATATAAACTGTACAAACAAGGCAGTGCTGCAACTGAATTCTTCTACTGTCTCGTATTAACCACCACACTTTAAAACATCTAGTGCTCAGGAATTGATAACATACAGTAACTCTTAATGTTCCCTATGGCAGTGACACAGATTGCCCCCCCCCCCCCCCCCCCTGCAAACGACAAACACTTGACACACATGAACACGCACTGTATGACGGCACAACTGACCAGCAGGGGACTCATGGGAGCACTTGACAAAACACTTCATCCTGCTGCTGGATTATCTAAAAGAAAAAAGTGTGTGTAGCCCGCAGGTATAATCCTGTCCAGCATCCTCCGTCCCTGCTCAGGCTTCAGGACTGACGGCTGCGTCACCGTTCGGCTGTGGCTCTTTCAACAACGTTTCCACTTCCTGTGAGTCTGCTGTTTCATTCTCTTGCCTGACCTCCTCTACTTTCTCCTTGTCTCTCTCCTCCTCTTCCTCCTCCTCCTCCTCCTCCTTTAATTCCTCTTTCGCTTCCTCCACAGTCTCCTTCTCTTGCTCCTCTCTTGGTCCTTTCTCCTCTTCATCATTAACCTCTGCAGGTTTACTGAACACCTCTGTCTTGGCATCGTCATCTGTCACTGTGACATTCTCCAGCTGGTCTGCTGGAGCTGAAGGTTTCCTCTTAATAAAAAGGAGGTTACAAGTGGCCAGAACCACAGCTGCGAGGACCACCTCGCTCCCTGCCAGCATGAAGACATACATGTAGTTCTTGGTGGCATCGAGCAGCCGGCCTGGAGTCAGAGGAAAGAGACACAAGGAAACAGATGAGAGGATAAAATCCTTCCGTCTAAGTCGACAAACTGCCATAATTACAGTAAATTAGTCACAACATGTCTGTCCACAACGCTGTCTACTGAAAAATTCGGTTTATACATCAGCAAATAGGTTTTGAAGGAACAGACGCCGACTGGATTACATTGTCTTTTACAACCCTGTCTCCTGGAAAATAAGTTTATATATTGTGTACCTTGTGGTATTCAGGCTGGATGGTGGACATACAAAGGGATTTAAGACTATGACACCAGAGTCTGCGGTTCACATCCAGACTCATTGGGCCAGTTTCACAAAGACATGTCAGACTGGTCTGTAGTGTTGGTCCAGTCTTCATTTAGGTCATAGTTTAGTCTAATGTTAGTCAGACTGTTCCACAAAAGAATGATTTATTTTAATCCAGAAACATTAGACACCTTACCCCCCGGCTAACTCAGGCCTAAGACCAATGTTACCATGGTAACAATCAATAACACCTAACAACAAAAAGCAGGAAAATATGGCTTATTATTCCACTTAAACCACCATTCTTCCTGAAGACAAACACTTTCTGCTGGGGTAAATGGAGCTGAGCGGTTGGATGCAGTTCTTCAGCCCAGCCATTTCTTTTATTATGAAATGTCTTGATTTACCCAGAATTCATTGTAGCACAGTCTGGTTTAAGTCAAGAACTAAACTGCTTTGTGCAACCTATGGATTCAGACTCAGTCTATCTGAAGTCTGTTTGTTATATTTAAGACACAGTCAAAGTCTGTCTTTGTGAAACCGGCTCCTTGCAACAAAAGCGCTTTGGTTAAGGTTAGAGAAAGATCATGGTTTTGTTTAAACACTGTTAACCCTTTCTGTATTAAACTAGACCATAGTCTTTCTCTAACCTCAACCAAGTGCTGCAATAATGGAGCCAATACAAGTGGATAGCCTGTTGTTCTGCAAGATCGCACATTCTGGTGAAAGAAACTGCATTGTCAGTATATTAATCAACATCAATTCCTCATAGCATTAATGGAAAACATAATCCAGTTGGAGTAATGTTTCCTTCCAAACATATTTGCTGTTGCAAATGAGTTGTATATAAAAATCATTTCTTGGAGACAGAGTTGTTTCCCAGTGGTTACAATTACAACTAGAGAAAAATGTATTTATGAAAATATATACATATAATATATATATATACATATAATATATATATATAAAACATAAATAATGTTTTAAATGTTTTAAAACGAAATGATATTTGAAAACATTAAAATGTTGAAAAAATGTTTTCATTGGGGGTTTTTTTCTCGTATTAAGGCTGATCACTGTGAGCCAAAGATATGAACTTTCCACTTTGTATACTGGTTAGCTATCTCAGTCTGATTGCACACTAAAAGATTATGTCCATGGCAAAGACTGGAGTATCAGAATGTGTAGCTGGTTAGCAACAGGAGGAGCTGAAAGGAAAAAGAGTCGAGAGACAGATGGTGAAACACACGTCAAAAAAAAACGAAAAACTGAGCTTCCCCTGCTTCTAGTTCAATCCTGAATGTTTGATTGTTATGATTAAAATAAAACGCGCTCTGCGAAGGCATCATTTGGGCTCCGTCCTGTTATGGGGCCAGACATTTTTGTGTGTGTGCCATGAGTTGGAAAAGGTTGGGAACCACTGGTCTAGCATTCTTATTCATCTCAATGTAAGCAAATATATTTAGGGTGTTGTTTGCAGACAGTTGCAGAGCTGCTTTCTATAATGTTTGTTCAAACTTGGGGTAAGACTTCAATATAAGTTTCAAACCTTTATCCAGAAAGGAAGTTGATCAAACCAGTTTGCTAGCTCTATGCTCAGGGCTGCACGATGTGTTGTTGCGATTCTAGGTTTTGTGCATCAGCTCTTGTGTGTGGATTGTATGGCGACGCATAAAAACCTTCTCTTCCTATAATTACAGCCTCACAAAATCATATAAAGATATCGTCATGGTAACATTATGGTTGCCATACATCAAGAAGGAGTATGATTTTCTAATATGAGCAGGTCAGAGGTAGACACAGGGACAAGGAGGAAGAAAACACCAACACAAAAAAGTTGGTGTGTTTCCGAGTAACAAGACAGACCTTGATGGTCAAGTATCTTTGGTTTGGTTTCTGTCTAAAGAGGATGCACAAAACGGCTTCAACCACACAGCTCGTCAGGATCCGGAAGGCCCAGTTCCTTTCTTTGGCATTGGCAATGAATGACACTGAGTATACGTATACGCCCTGTTAGATTCTAGTAGGCTTAGTGTCAATAAATTCCCCTGTAGCAAATCATTTCTCCAGTGCTAACTGTGCCATGACGGGCTCAATGCAGCAAAACCCTTTCAAATGGCACTTTAGTGCAGTGTGTGCATGTCTTGGTGCTTACTCACCTGCACCAGGTGGCCCCACCAGCACAGCAATGGCCTCCATGAGCAGGACCAGGCCAATGGCACTGGGGAACCTCTCAGTGCCAACTATTGCCATGAGAACCTCAAATTGCAGGGCTCCCACCATGCCGTAGGAGATGCCAAAGAAGACACAGTAGACCACCAGGGATGTATAATCCTTGGCCTGGGTGCAAATATGAAATTGTGAAGTAAGAGCAAACCTAGCATGTTTAGGTTTTATATCAGTGAGCTAAATGTTTTCTTTTCGGTTCATATAAGGAGCAAGCATTCACATACCTGTGACCCCACCAGGTCAGTGGTTCCATTGAAGATCAAAGCGAAGCTGAATAAGTAGACGCAACGAGGCCGCACCCAGCTCAGCCCAGCAATCACACCACACGTGGGCCGTGAAAAAATGTCAATGAAGCCCAGGATAGTGAGCAGCAGAGCCGATTTGGTATCTTCATTCCCCAGCTCTTTAGCGTAGCTCACAACGAACACTGGAGGCACAAACAGCCCCAGCACCATGATGGAGGCTGCTACAGTGTAGATGACAAACCCGCAGTCTTTGAAGACAGAGAAGTCCAGCAGTTTGGCTTTGGGCTTCTTCTTCTTCCTCTCTGCTTCCTCTGGTCCCTCCTCTGTGTCCTGCTCCATGTCCTTGGTTGGGATGGTCTTGGGGGCGACCAGAGGCTTCATCAGGGCCCCACACACACAGCAGTTGAGAAGAAGGCCACCCAAGATGAGGAAGCCCCCCCTCCATCCGTACTGGTACTGGAGGACCTGGCCCAGTGGTGAGAGGCAGCACAGGGCCACGGGGCTTCCAGCTGCTGACAGCCCATTGGCCAGAGGACGCTTCTCACTGAAGTAGCGGTTTAGCATGATCAGAGATGGCTGGAAGTTGAGGGCTAACCCCAGACCTGCGGCACAGGAAAGCAAGTTTTATACTGTTTTACTGTCATTCTGGTAAACTTACTAGATCCACAGTTGGTGCGAACAGGGATTTGTAAGTTCCCCAAAAGATTGTTGCTTTGAATGGATTTACACTACATACACCAGGGAGACATGCTTTGATTGCTATTTTTATCAACAAGCGCCAGTCACACTGGGAATTGCTGGCATTTATGAAAGTTAATATAACATCAGCAATAGCTGAGGACATAATGTTGGCATCGCTTTCAGTGGCTATCTTTTACGTTGATATCAATAGGAAGGATTAATGATGAAAACTAGACAAAACTAAACCAAAACTCACATGACTAAGGTTTGGCTAAAATGAATTTACATTTTCTTCAGAAGACTAAATTAAAAACATGTGTCAAGACTCTGACTCCAAAGTCCTTGCTCCACTCAAATATGTATTCATTACACTAAGCAAATAAATGTGAATATGAAATGACAACTCAGCACCTGGATGGAATTACCTGCATTTATGTATCAATTTTTCTAAAATATGATCATCTCTTCATCCACGTTAAAATTATGAACAAACACAATCTGTTTTAACTTTATAACACAAATCATTGTGTTTCTTGTCCATGTTGAAAACATCATTCAAAATTCACAGTGGAGCTCGAAAAAGTATGTGAACCTCTCGGCTAATGACATCAACATTGGAGTCTAATCAATGAAACCAGATTGGAGGTGTGGGTTAGAGACACTTTAACTTATTAAAAAAAAGCACTCAAACATTTAGAGTTTGCTATTCACATGACGCAGGTGCTGATGTGAACTATGCCTCGCAGAAAATATATCTCAAAACTTATGATTAAGAATTGTTCATTTGCTTAAAGCTGAAAGGGTTAGAAATTCATCTCAGAGAGTTTAGAGCTATCAGTCCACAGTCAGACAGACTGTCTATAAATGGAGATGATGTAGTTCTGTGGCTGCTCTCAGTAACACAACAACAAACCTCAGAGTAAGAGGGTGTTTTTCAATAAAGACACAAAAGATTCAAATTGTTTGCGTCATATTACTGTAGGGACACCGTGTTTGTCTACATTTATGACTTAGATGAAGATCGGATCACATTTGATGACCAATCAATGCAGAAAACCAGGTCATTCCAAAGGGTTGAGTGACTTTTTCTGGTCGCTGTATATCCTCATATCATAGCTTGTACTATATACTGTACGCTGTGACTTTACATCACAAGGCCTGATGAAGCGCAGGTAGGTTCATCCATTCTTGATAGAAGATGTCAGAGGTGTTAATACTTTACTTTCAGCTGACCTGTAATGACCCCAACAGTGAGGTAGATGTGGATGATGCTGGTGGAGAAGGAGGCAAGGATCATTCCCAGAGAGGCGAAGAGGCCACCCACCATCATCACTGGACGACAGCCAAAGCAGTTCACCAGCATGCTGCACAGAGGACCTGGACAAAGTGTAGTGAACTTAGTCAGCTCTGTGTCAAGGTGGTCTGGCACCTATATATCAGTGTGAGATACTGCATGTAATAAGACATTGTTGGGGGTTTTAGAAGATTATAAAATGAAGGTGATACTGATTTTCTGATCTGACTCGAGGCGAAAAATGAAAAGTATTTCATTTTGTCCTTGTCCAATCATAAACATGCCACATTCAAATAATCCAAGTTTATTAGTATCTGATTGGTTGGTCTGGCCATATAAAAACTGAAGCAGCAGTTACTTCACTATCACTATCACTTCAGCTCTGCTCAGTTGCTTGCACTCTGGTTACCAGCCTATTTCACCCACACTCAGTAACTTGGGTCTGATCAGAATAGCCTGGTTTTATTGATCTCTACACCTGACAGATTTGCAAATTGTGGTTTTTGTGATTATTTATTGTCAATCCAACTATTTCACTCTGACCCATATACGGTGGACTGACTAACCAACTTACTGACCGTCCAGTCAACATTACCATTCCTTTATTAGGGCCATGGCGCAAGCATGATTTAAAAGAAGTACATTTATTGAATTTTTAAGCAAGAGTCTGTAAAGGTGTATTCCACCAATTCTACATGGCAAAGTTACTTTAGTGATGAGTACAACTCAGCCTGTGGGGAGTTGTTGAATATTTCTGTGGCTCTGAAAGAGCTTTGACTTGTCTAAGAAAATAGTAGTGACAGCTTGGCAACTACAAAGTCTGGGTTGGACACTATAGGTGTGGGGAGTTGTATTATGGGAAATGTAAGATCCAGTGTTTTTGGAGGTTAACCCATGCTAGGAACGGAGAGTCAGGATATCTCAGCCGCAGCTTTACTGAACTGATACTAAATCATTGGAGGACTTTTAAAAAGTGCTTTTACAGTGGCTGAAGCATGTTACACATTTCCTGACTGAGGATCAACAGACACACGGATCATTCTAGAAGCAGAACTGTGAGGGAATCAAGGAATCTGTGTAATAACTGATGGAACTGTTCCATGGTTCCACCACTCTTCTTACCGGCATCACTTCACCAAACACCTCTGCAAGACACACACACACACAGATCGAGCTGCAGAAGTGAACTCGAACAAGATGGCAAGACCACTACATGAACTCCACGCTGAGATAGAGATCGCCAACAACATTCACAAAATGACCCCTGAAGAGAGAAGGGCGTATCTCAGGAGAGAGAGCTTTAAAGAGCTGAGAGAAATGGAGATGGAGAGAAGAAGAAGAGTTGCTCTGGAGGAGCTTCAGAGGAGCAGGAGAGAAAAGGAGGAAAGAGATAGAGAAGCTGAGAGTGTGAGAAGGCAGAAGGAAAGAGTTGAAGAGGAGAGGAGGAGGCAGGAGGAAAAACAGAGAGAGGAGGAGAAGAGGAGGGAATATTATCAAAAGGCCCTGGAGAAAGGAAAGCAGCAGCAACTGAAGACAGAGACACTTCAGTGGAAAAAGGTCATGATGGTGCAGGAGCAGCCCATCATGAAACCCATATACACCATCAGTGATCTGAAGAAGGCGCAGCAGAGGAGGCGCGAGGAGGCGGAGCTTCACCGTGTGCAAGACAACGGCAGCTTGAAGTGCCTGACCTCTGTGGTGAAGAACCAGGAGCAGGGTCAGAGAAAAACTCTGATCAACAACTGGGTTGGAGAGCAGACAACACACTGCAAGGAGGAGCTCCACCCAAATGACTCCACCCTCAGCTCCAGGGCTGAAGGAAAGAGCCTCAAGTCTCAAGCTACACCAAAATCCACCAAGGCCCTGCACTGGCTGCAGAAGAGACTGAAGTCTGGACTCAGTCTCAGAGAGAAGCAGGATGAGGATGAGCTGGAGAGGAAGAAGGAGGCTCGCAGACTCAGAGAGCTGTATGGACAGAGGAAGTGCAGCAGCCTCTTGTCTGAGCAGATTGATGGTTACTGCATGTCCAGGAACCGCATCCTCAAAAAATCCATGCCCTGAATGGAACCCATCCTTCTCTCCCTCCCTCCCTCCCTCCCTCCTGTCCCCCTACCCTCCCTCCTCCCTCCCCCCTCCAACCACAACCCCTCCACCCCCTTCCTCTCTCCCTCCAACCCCACTTCTAACCGACCCCCCCCCCCTTTCTATCTCCTTGTCTACAGACCCTCTTTTCTTTCTTTTCAAGATATGAACTGGTTTAATAAAACCGTGTTGTTCCTATCAACAACATTTGTGTTTCTATGTTCCAATCACAGCAGTCTAGAACCGGGCCTGCCATACAGTCATGAGAGTGGTAAGAAGGTGAATATGGGTGCTGCCAAAATTTTCAAACTGTCCCTTTAAGTTTACTTGAACAGTTCATTTTATCCATAATTTTCATTTAGTCCTGGTTTGGTCTCGAAATGTAACCCCCTTGTTAAAATTGTTGAAATGAAATGTAGGAAAGTAAAGTAATATAGTCAGTGGAAGTAATGAGACGGAATAAATAAACATTGCACTGCACTTGGTGATGGTGTTGCATTGGACTGGATAATACTGTAAGATGTTCATGTTGTTCCTCAATCTGAACAGAACAGATGTCAATGTTGTTTGATTATAGATCAGGTCTAGGTTCTATATTAATGCTGTGAAAGTATCAAAGCCTCAGTCCACAGAGAAATGCACACAGCCTGTATTCAGGAACTGAGCCTTAAAACCAGCTGTCAGGACTTCAGGAACTTTGTGATGTCACAACAAAACAGTCAACATCCTCAGCCATGTCCCAAGCCCCGCCCACCTGGACCCACCATCCGACCTTACAGGATTTGGTTTCTCTGAGTGTTTTATCTGAAATCTGATATATTTTTATTGGATCACTCAGAAAACAGTCAGTAACTGACCTGTTGTTACTAGAGCTCCAGAGAGAAGCCTGAGAGAGGAGATGTAAAACTACATTGAGATGGTTTTTGGTTCTTAAAACCACAAATATATCTTCTTATGATCACCACTTCAAATAAAACACAGAGAAGAGGAAAATATGGAGCTTTAACAAAAGGTATCAATTATGGGGCTGCATTAAAACTACACCACACTTTTTGCTACTGTGTCCACCTGTTGTATATGTGTAGCAGCAGCCTACCTGTCCCATAGAGCATGGCCAGCAGTATGGAGGAGATCCAGGCAGTGTCGCTATATCCCACCCCAAACTCCAGGATCAGCTCTTTGAAGAATACACTGACCGCTTTTGGGAAAGCGTAGGAAAAGCCTGTGATGACGAAACAGCCGGCCAGCACTGCCCAGCCCCACCCTCCATCGGGTGCCTTCACTCTGTCCGCACCCACGTCCACCGCCACGCCTCCCATGATGTCTTAGGGCTGTGTCTTAACAGACGCAGATAGAGAAGCTAGAAAAACAATGGAAATGACAATTAGCTGTCGGATTGAGTTTCTCTGTAAATGCACGTAATTCAGTCCTGCACCATGACTACTGTCTATCAGGAATAACAGTTTAATACTAACACCTTAAATGAACTTTGATACACTTATGAATTTATGGAATTGCTAGAAACTTCAAGTTCCATTTGAGCCAAGCAGAACCCTCCAACCTGCTATTTGTCCCCATAATTTCTGATAAGAGCACACCGTAGTTCAAATAACAAAAAAGAAGAACAGAAATGTGATCTCCTGCAGAGACAAATACTTGTGTGTAGGGCTGCAGAGAAGTGATGCTAACTGTAGGTTAAAGAGGTTAAAACAGATCCTGATCCTGAGCACTGAGGTTGGGCCAGTCCCCAATAGGAACTAGAACAAAAATCCAATCCAAAAACAACATTTGCATTTCTATGTTTATCTCTATTTTAGATATAAAGACTTTCTATTACTGAAAATGGATTTAGTTTAATTCCTTTAATTCCTATGCTTCATATTTATTAGTTATTCAAATCAACTTGCATTTTTTTCAGGAAGCAGTCGACCAATCAGTAACCCTTACTTTCTGTTGCTGTTCTCTTCTAAATTATCATTGTAAACTATATACAGAGGCTTCAGAAAGTATTCAGACCACTTTGCATCCTTTTTTTTAAATTTCAAATTTATAAAACTGCGGTTTTTGTCCATCAGTCAACTCTCAAAGATCGATAACCACAAAGTGGATCTATTTTTGGAAATTTATTAAAAATCAAAAAACTGAAATCTCTCATTTATAAAAGTACTCAGAGCCTTTGGCCTCAAAATGCCTCAGTGTGTTTTCTATTATTTCATATTAAGAGTTAAAGCACATTTCTCCCAGTTTTCCTTTTAGAGATGTTTATGGGCACCAGTGAAAAAATTAACTGCAAAGGTCTATTAGACTAGATTATTAGGCCAAGAGGCCTTGAAGCTTCACAGATTAGTTTTTGACGTGATGTAAAAGTATTATGAAGCTTTTCATTGTTTTTGTATAAAGTATATCCTACAAATAGTTATTAAATATGATTTGGGTTGTAGTCACATATAAAACAAACACATTTCCAGAAACTACAAGATGTTACCTTTCAAATGAGGTCTCATAAATGCATTTTGGCCTTACAGTTCTTCTGTTGTAAGCTTATGACATTTACATATGCAAATAGAGGCAAAGGTTTAAAACAGGTGGGCTGTTAAGAACACAAGTGTGGTGGTCAGGGTGTTTCTTTTGGTAAATTTTTAACTTTGTTTGGACAGTGAGGAAACAGCTTGTGTCTCCATCAGCTAATTTACAGGGAGCTGGAGGAACGAGCTGTGCGGTAGACATGCAGGCTGGGCTCAGCCAACAATCCAGTGTCTCCAGATAAGATGGTAATTTCAGGCCTCACGCTGACGGGAAGGTGACGTGACCAGCCTGACTATGGATCAACAGACACTGTGTGTTTCAGTCAGTCTCTCCCTGGGGAGTTTATGCTGCGTTATTACACAGTCAAAGAAAATATCCTGAGTTCATTGTTGGGAGTATTGTATGGACTGTAATATATTCTTTCAGAAAATGTCCTCTGGGTCTCCTTGGACAGCAGATAATGTCTAGAAACAACTCAGATGCTGATTTTGTTACAGAGCAGTGCCACAAAGTCATTAAACATTTTTCCAGCACAATGTTGACAATTCAAATTTTTTCACAAGGCCTTGAGGGGTAACATGCATAAAATATTTCAATAACATTATGAGTTATTGTTAATAATTTAGCTTTTTATAGCTGCTGTTATTAAAGCGATGTTCTTTTATTATCAGCATTTCTTATCCAGAGGGCTAATGTACAGTATGGTGAGATATATGTGTATGTTATGTAACTATACATGCTGCATGGAGTCGGCTCAAGATGTTAGTCATTACACACAGAAAAGCGAACATCATGTAGAATTTCAAAAAGCCAGGGATGTTCTTGTAGCTCAGATTAGTCTGGTTTCATCTTTAAAGCTGCGCTAATAAATATTTTTATCATTACAATGGATTCAATGACTATGTGTAATGTCAAAGGTGTTGCTCACAGTGATGAACCCACAGAGAATTATAACCTCAATCTAGTGTAGTACCCCCTCAGCCCTACAGAGCGTTTTAGCTTACTTTAGCCCATTGCTTTGTTTAAGCCCACTACTTTGATGTTTCAGTTCAGTCTAACTGATCTCATCAACCACTGTGCACTACCTATCTAGTAATAGCAGACATAGATGATGAGCTGGTGAACATAGTAGACGCTCTATGCATTGTAGCGTAGAGCATAGATAAAGATAGAGTTGGTGGAGATCAAAACAGAGCAAAAAGGAAAGTGAAAATTGGAACATGACTCCAAATTACTATTGACCGTGTTGCTTTATGCCTGTTGGGTGTGTAAATTAGCAACTGTTAGCAAACATGTTTGCTGAAACAACCTTATATTGCAATATGTCAAAGTAGTTAGTTTGCAGCCTGTTACGCTGCCCTCTAGTGGCCAAGACAAATGAAAGCTGCATGAATGTGTGTAATGTGAAAGGTGTTGCTCACAGTGATGAACCCACAGAGAATTATAGTAATGATGCTTTAAAATCTTGATGTGGAAACAGCTTCACAGACCAAAACAACAACAAAAGATGCCTTAAAGCAGTGGTTCTCAAACTTCTTCACATTGAGGACAATAAACTGACACAACTTAGACCACAGACCACCATCTGATAAGATTTTTGCTTTTACAGTATATGTCTTACTATAGAAAGTTTCAGGCCCATGATCAAAATACTCATTCACTCTGTCATTGTATGGCTTATAGATGGAATTATAGTGAAAATAAATGATTCTCCTTTCAGCTGGGAACCCACAGGAACCCCTTCAAGGACCCCTGGGGGTCCCTGAACCCAACTTTGACAACCACTGCCTTGAAAAAAAACAATTTAAAGCATTCAGACTATAATTAGAAATGATGTAAATAAAAACAAAATGTGATATAGTTTAAATTTTTTATCATAATAAGAAAATATATATTATTAAAAAACATTGTAGATAATGTGGCTAAACTACATTTTCTTCATTAGAAAAGATAACATTTTAGTGAGATGTTCAAAGCCATGTGACCCACTGTACAACAGGTCAATAGGATCGAGGAAATGAATACAAGAATACTCTGTAGTTTAAAAAAAAAAGTCATTGTGCTGTAAGCAACTCAAATTGAAATTAAGAGAAGAAAAGATTACTGATTAGCCTATAGTTATGCAAAATACAGTTTCCTAATAAAATAATCATAAAATAAATAAATAATAATAATAACCACTAATAATTGCCATTTTGCCTGTCACATGAAAATGATTTCGATTTTTTTTCACGTTTATTTATTTTTATTTTTTTCACATTAGGATACTTTGAGAACACTGAGATTTAAGTAAAAGGTTTTAAGTTTTAATACCAAAACGCTAAATATAACTTGTTATGGGTAAACTAACGTCACTCCACGTAGGCTACCATACCTGCATCATGGGGATCTCTGTCTGGATGCCCCCGCATACCTTATATAACTCTGTCATGACATGGACGGCTGGCTGGGATGGTGCGTGAAAACGTGCACTAAAATAACAATTTGCGCCATATGACGGACATTAACGGTCCCAGATCTAAAAAACAAAAAAAATGTGGTTATTAATATTAATGTGTCACTGTCACTGTGACAGACGCCTCGCTCTCACCAGTCCGCCACAGACTTGCATGTGTTTATAATAATAGGAGAGATTTGATTATCAGTCGTGATGTCCACACGGTGACAGCTGCTGAGTCTCTTACCGGCTGATGCTGCTGAGAGTTGTCCCTCCTTCAGTCTCCTCCCTCAGCTCTGGAGCCTCGTTTCTCCCCGCACGTCTGCCTGCAGACCCTCCGAGAGTGGCAAGCCTCATGATGCTGGGTCCTAAAGCCTCAAGTTCACAGTCCTCAGCCTTTTTAATTACCAGTGTAGGACAAACTGGGACTGGCAGGCACTCTTATGTCTTTATATCTCAGTGTTTTTAACAAGATGAATATCAGTGACTACAGGGATCTTAAATGTTGAGGTGCTGTAACTTTGATTACACATAATAGACAGCAAAGATCTCAACATGCTGTTGCCAAAGCAGTTTACACATGATTGAAATATTATATTTCACATATATGTATATTAAATATATGTGTCAAATACTGATGAAGTCCATTGTTTGATTTCTATACAATATTATTCAATACAATACAAAACAAATTTATACCGTTTAATACAATCATCTAATATCATACAGATCTGTAATTTGGAGGATTCTCTTCTCTCACTTGTCAAAGCTACGCCAGAGTAAGTGATAGTAATATTACTCGTCATTATTAGTAAAATAACCTTCATGTACATATCGTGCATAAAGTCAGTCGGTGGGGCTTTGGATGTCTTTTTCTTCTATATTAAAGGTGTCCTACAAAAACTCTTTTCCTTTTCAACAGAGGTGGGTGACACCTACTATGTTTAAAACGGTTATAATTGATATTCTAATAATAACAATATATCAAATGACAATGTGAAAATAATATGATAATTGAAAGGGGTCACTTTTAGTGACAAATCTACAAAGAACTGTCAGCTGAATCTGGGGCACCCCTGAGCTTTACAGAGCTTCGTAGTGAGTTTCAGCTCATTGCTAAGCTGTCCAGCCCACAACTTTACTGTTTTGGCTCATTTACTCTTATATACTTTTATATAACCCTGCCTTACCTCAGCTATTCCATCCCACATATAGAGTAACTATTTCAATAGTCAATCTTGAACTAATCACAACCTACAAGGTCTTTCTCAATCTTTGCAAATTTGAAATCAAATTGCATGTTGTGTTCCTCAGCTAATCAGAACTGAAACTATCAGTATATTTAAACAAAGTGGACTTTCGTTG